CAGGTTCAGGTAAGTAGAGCTCACCTTTTTCATAACAAATCAATTCTTCTGTAGTAATTGTCAACCCATAGATATAGCCTTTATTCATTAAGGAAAAGAGCGAAGAAGGAAATCCTACACAATCTTGCCATTAGTGCCCGCAGTCTGTAACCAGTAGGGCATTTGCATATATTGTCAAATGTAATCCCATATTATGATGACTTTAATGGGATATTGCTTAAAAGCAATCTTCCTTTCAATTTCAACAAGGATTCATCTCTGCATACTGATAGGATTCAACATTTCAACACCATTACAACAAACTTTGCTCTAAACTTGTTCCTGAATACCTCTGCCCTCCACACACGGCTCACAAAGAGGAGCCCACAAACATACTATTTTTCATTGGGTGACATCTACCCTAATTTTCTTTTTTGTTTGTTGTTGTTCCTTATATGGTAGGCCATTATCAGCCAATATTGGACTTTGTTATGGGTTTATAAACCTCTTTTTTTTAATATTATTTTTGTTAAATACACTAAAAAGGCTACTTGTTGCAATACTCAAGATTTTAAGAAATTTTCTAAAAGGATCTCTTGGACGACCTTATATGACATTCTACTATAGATTTAGTTTTGTGTTGCTGTTTAGGATCAGGTTTAGATATTATGATATTGTTGTATTCTGGAGGTTATCCTTTGTACAGCATTATCAGTCAACAGTATATGTCAATTTATTTTCTGTTACACTCCTACAAGTCTGTATGTCAGGATATTTACATTGTTATGCTTTGCACTGTTGATTGTATAGTTATACGTTGAGGCGGTTTGTCAGCTCTGTGCACGCTTCTCATTTTTTATTCACCTGGGTGGGTATAAAACGTTTAATAGCATTGAAAAAACAGAAACATTCTTAATTAGAAATTAAGAATTGTTAATTTCTGATTTTTTTGTGTGTGGTTTCCTGCTTTTTATCTTGTATATATTTCTGTGTATGTTTGCTTCAGTGTGTGTTTGTGTAGATTGTGTGTGTGCAGCAGTGTGTGTTATAATATTGTGGATAGAGGCATGTATACTCGTGTGTATGTACTAGTATGTGTGTGCGTACAGTGTGGGTATCAGTATGTGTAGCAGTGTGCGTGTACAGTGTGGGTAACCGTATGTGTTTGTAACAGTGTGTGTAGCATCATTTGTAGTAGTGTGCGTCACGTGAGTGTATCAGTGTGTGTTACAATGCAGTTAGTAGCAGTATGTGCAGCAGTGTGTATTGTAGTGTGTGTGTACAGTTTTAGTAGCAATATGTGTACATGTCCTTTCTGAGTTTGCCATTCTTGCCTCAGTCCAGGAACTTCCCAGTGGTCTCGGCGACATGCTGGAGATGCAACGAGGCGGAGGGCACAGTAATACACTTGTGGTGGGATTGCATTGGCATACACAACTGGGAGGAGGTCAGGAATAAAATCATAGAAGTCCTGGGTAGTGGTCTATTTCTGGACATTGACCATGTGCTACTGCACTCTACACCCCCTCCAATCAGCAAATATAAGAAATCAATACTTAGGCACCTCCTCAATGCCACAATATCCCTGATACCAACACTCTGGATGCAAACCACATCTCCTACACTAGAACAATGGATGGAGAGAGTGGAGGAGATCAAGGCAGGTGAGTTGATTTAGGCATCACTCACTAACAACAGCGATAAACATGTTGAGGAGTGGCAGCCGTGGATAATGTACTTGGTGAAACAAGACTGACGGGAGGTTGGCAGAACGGTGATGGACGGGGGACGGGGGGATGGGTGCCTGGAGGATGTGTCCCATTACCTGTAAGATATACCTCTTCTCCCCAGATTCTCACTGTAACCATTCTGCTTCTACTTTCTTCCTACTTACTTTCATCTTTTCTTTCTAGGACTATTTCAACTAATTGGGCTATTTCAGCAAAAGAGTTTTGAGTGCCTGTCAGAGAGACAGCAACTAGATGCATTTAAACCCGGCAATGTAAACATTGTTGTTTCTGTGGAATGGCAATGTTCTCAGTTGCAATTTTAAAACTAGATGGACTTAAAAACCCAGACCACTTTATTGAGATAAAGTGGTCTGGTCGTTTATAGTGTTCCTTTAATAATTTTTTTAAATGCTGTAAACACAGTGTGGTTGAAGCCTGCCATTGCGAGTCAAGGTTGAACAGATTTAAGAAGATACTGCAAGGATTTTTGGCTGCACAGGAGAAGATGCATTTTGCCTCTCTTCACCTTACACTCTTCTTTCCCCAGCACTGCCCTGCACCCAGGATATCTACATGAGAGTCAAACATTCATGGCTCCCAAACATAGTTGGATTTACCTTTAATGCAACTGTAGGCACAGAATTTGGAAAGTGTCCCCCACCCTCATTGAAAAATAACAAATATATATATACACACACATTTCCACACACACATTCATGCACAGATAATCACACACACATTCACACCCACATACATACCAATTCTCATATATATAAACAATATTACAAAATACATTCTCACACACACATTCCCTCGAACCCACAAACTAACACACACATACAATACTCACAGAACACAATCTCACGCACACATATATACATTCACACACACGGACAAACACATACATACATTATCACACACACATAATCTCTCTCACACACACACACAAATAATTTCTCCCAAGTGAGGATTGCTGTGATCACACGGTCAGATTTCCCATTGCTTTCATTAAAGTAACTAACGATCTCATTGTTGTTAAATCCAAAGGTCAATACTCCATACTAATTCTTCTAGACTTCTTTGTTTCCTTTGACACTGTTGATGATGCATTCCTTCTGCAAACTTGTCACTCTTATGGTCTTTGTGAGACTGAGACTTTCATAGCTCCTGTCCTTGCTCTCCCAATGTTCATTCAGTATCTCATTTTCTAATAACACCTCTTCCTCTTGTCCTGTCATGGTTGGAGTCTCCCAAGGCTCTGTTCTCTGTCCCTTTTGTTTTCTGTTTATACTTACTCTTTTAGCAAAATTATTAATTAATTTGGATTCTGATACTACTTATATGCCATTTGCAGAAAAGTAATGATGGTTCAGGCACCCAAGGTAAAGCCAATAGGCCACATTTGGCCCACAGCAGGGACTTTGTCAAGCTAACCACAAGTGTATTGATATACTTTATAAAGGGTAATCAGTTCTTAACACAGTGTATATCAAGACATAGATAATCAATCACACATCACATTAATCACATGTTAATAATGCATACTAATAAAGCATAAAAATAATTAGTAAACATCATAAAGTGCACAAGTGTCACTTACATTATCATCCAGCAATTATAACAAATAAAAATATGTAATTGTGTAAGTAATTAAATATATATATATATATATCCAAAATAGAAACAATGATTCATCATTACTCTATTATCAATCCTTTCTATTGAAGAAAAAAGGAAAAAAGACTTACCCCATAACTATAAGCTTCAGAACATAAAAATCGCCCAGCTGACTGGCATAAAAGATTCCATAATGAAAATCCCGAAACACCATAACGATCTGGGAGGCGGAGAACTCCCTACCCTACAGTAGCCGTTAGGGGACAAAACCACAAAACACTTTTGGATTCACAGGCCCTCTGTGTCAGCAGACTACAGAGGTCCAAAGGCCTCTGTGCATGGTCTTAGTGCCCATCCTCCACTGGCATTTTAAAATTTGCAGGCAGGTTTCAAAATGTGGACACGTCCCCGGGACCTATACTTGCTGGGACAATAACCAAAAATGCAGGACTGTTCTGACAAATTTAAGACTGTTAGTACATATGATAGGTAGCTCCTAATTACATCTTGAACAATAACTGCTCAAAAATGTTTCAGTGGTTATGGTGCGTTAAGCCTTACAATGAAGACAGAGCTCATTAAAGAGTAAAATTCAGTCTTTAGTCAGGATCTTGAATGGGATATGGTAGCAGTTGCGGTACACATTGAGTTGAGAAAGGGACGAAGAGCAACTCTCATGTTCAGCATTGTAATTATGTGTAAGAGACTGTCTATGAAGGGACATTAAACTAACATCAGACAACTGGTTCTGATAAAAACAAAAAGACTTACTAATAAAAAAAAAAGACAACATGCATTACAAGGCAAGGGGCAGTCAACTACACACTGGAGAAGATAGAATGCACAGGTGGTTTTACCCCCTAAACAAGTTGGATATGGCAACAAATGACAAAACAGATTTCCACTTCTATGAGCAAAACAGAAATTATGAAAATCTCTCTGAATGGATCCCTAGTTCAATTAAAACATTATAACCCCTATATTGCAAGGCTACAAATACATAGGACTGTAGCTCATGTAACCTCCACACAATGGGGTATGCCTTGAGTGTTATTTTGGGGTGGGATGGCAACACATTCAGGCAACAGCGCATTCCATGACACCATCTTCCAGGAAGACATCGAGTTCCAGCTAAATACATTTTAAAGGTAATGTTGTTATCCATATGATTTGTGCATTGTACAACTACTTTAGTAGCAAGAAAAGGTGGTTAATGTATTGTACACTCACTCAGGGTGTGTTTCTGAAACTGATGGGAAACAAATTAAAAACACACATTCTTAAACACATTTATAGACACTTGTAAATCGTGACACTACTGGGCTTACCTAAAAACATTGCTATAAACTAGATAGACAGACAGACAGGCAGGCAGACAGACAGATAGATTAGACAGATAGACGGATGGACAGATAGTTAGATATATGTTTATATATTATTTAAGAAAGCACTTATTTATTCACCTATTGTTTTAAAATATGGAGCAATTGTGTTAATAGACTATATTGAGAGATGTATCTCTCAATACTAAAACCCACAAGATTAAGCTGGCTGTCTGGAAGTGATTTCAGGGCAAGAATAGTTTACCAGGGCATCATCTCCTTAAAGCCCTATTGAGTTCATTAGCTATGTTTAAAGTAAGTCGTTGATCAGCTCTCATTGCATGTAGGACACCCAGAGTGGAGGTGGGGCCTTCTAGGGACTTAAGGACATTATTCTGCTACCTAAAACTGTTTCCAGACCAGGCTGTTTAAGCTAGGGAAGTACTGAATGCCATGAGAAGAGGATTAGATCATTACAGAGGCAGGTGACATTATATAGACATCAAATCCTTTGAAAGTCGTTTGCTAGCTAAGAAGGACAACACAAGTAAAGGAAGAGAGAGACATTGGAAAAAACAATTTCTACTGCAAGAACTCAAGACATAGTGGAGCATTTTTCAGAGAAATATGAAGTTTTTCTCAACTTTTGTAGTTGTGTACCTATTCTCGGTACATGTTTGCTGGGGGGAGTACTCTCTATCAAAATTTGTCTGTACCCCCATGCCTTTGGATATGGACTGCCAATCGAATATGCAACGTCATAGTGCCAGTAGCAGTGGGCATTGGGTGGGGATGCAGGAAGAAGCCAAAGAGACCATCCTACATTTGCGTGAGACAGTTGTACACCAGAAAGAAACTATCTTAGACCAGAGAGAAACAATCAGGGAACTGACTTTGAAACTGAGCCGTTGTGAGGGTTATCCTCATAGTAGCAGAGGACATGATGAGAGTTATGTCCATTTGCCTGAGCATGGACTGGACAGAGAAAATGGCCATGAAGAAACGCATAGTCATGAGACAACACATGGGCATGAGAGTACACATGGGCATGAAAGAGAACATGGGCAAAAAAGGGAACATGGGCATGAATGGGAAGAAGGTCATGAAAGGGAGCATGGTCATGAGTGGGAGCATGGTCACAAGAGAGAACATGGACACGAATGGGAAGACCGTCATGAAAGAGATTTTGGACATGAACGAGAACATGGGCATGAGCGAGAGCATGGACATGATAGAGATCACATTCATGGACATGAGGATGGCCATGGACACACAAGAGATCATGATTATCATCATCCCGGCCACCGGGAATATCGAGAGCAACCAGCCCACGATTCATATCGAAAGCCCAGCTCTCCACCAAACACAATGGAAGATCCTCCACAGGTGACACCACCTGGGATTCATCAAATGGAACGAATGCTAGAGTCATTAAAAGAGAGACTAGAACACCTGCAGGTAAGTGCTATAATACTAGCTTCTCATTTTTACAAATTTTTATAATATTTTATTTCTAAAAGAAATATTGTTTGACTACAACTTCCATACTTCTCTGTCAATATTTGGTTAACAGAGAATTATGGGATTGGTATAAAGAGTTAGGCAACAACAGCCAACAATTGGAGTCATGCCTACCTTGAATGAATAATTAAAACACATTTGCATTAAAGCTCAATAAATATTGCTCTGTTTCAAGATATATCAGTTAGTGTTTTTTCATTATGATCTGCAACTGGATTATAGGAGATGACTGTGAATGGAGGTATAGGAGGCGAGACAACTGTTGAGTATGTAGGCTACATTATTTAATAATTTGATACTAGTTTGCTGGAACAATCTTCTTTAATTAAGTATATTAACGTGATACTATGTTTCAGTTGTGGTATCTTATGGCAAGTGTAAGAGAGGAGTCCTGAATGTTAATGTGTCATAAAAACATGTTCTAAGTATAATACCAAGTAGCTATAATTTGATAATACTCACTGAGCATGATCTATGTTAGTGATGGCACACCATATTTTCTGAAACTACATGTCCCATGATGCTCAGCAAGCCATGAGAATTGTTTCAACACATCTGAGGTGCCTTGGTCATCCATACTTGCCCTACTTGATCTCAAAATAAGACTAACTGGTTAATAGTGAACTCTTTTCTACTTGTTCCTTTGTAATTTATTTATTCATTAATAGAATGAAAAGTATACTTGAGTTTTTTTAACTTGTAGTCTTGAGGTTCTAACACAAAAACATGCATTTCTTTGACACAATTGATGTTCAGTCTGGCAAGACAAGACACGTATTTACTCAGGAACTCTCAATAGACAGTCAATACAAACTCAACCCCTTGTGTTCTCCAACCAGTTTTTAACAAAGTGCGTATCTGTTTTTGGGCAAAGGAAAAACTACACACCAGTAGCCTGCAAGCACAGAATTTACAGATGTCCTTGAAAAATAATTAATAAACCCATTTGCATTCTGGATACAGTGTGAGAGCTGTTAAATAAATAATATCAAAGCCCTCGGGTTATCAATACAATGTTGGCCAATGCCAGATCTTAAGGGCTAGCATCATACTGTGCTTAGGGATATCTCTATCCTTAAGCTGAGATGCATTAACTGCAACAACTGAACTACTAATATACTGCTGTATTAATGAGGAGTTAGGTCATTTTGACTAGAGGAAATCTGTGCTCAAGCAGAGATTACATTGAAACCTGACTTTACATAAATTTCCAAAAATATCTCCATATACTGGACATTGCCACATACATGCTAACAATGCCTGCCTACATGTGCACACAATACTATAACGTTACTGGGCTATATGGAACCATTTCTATATGTGCATTTTAATAGGATATTTAGCCAAAAATTTAACATCTCTGCATGCATCATTTCTAATGCGGCATCGCATAAACTGCACATTGCTGCCATAAATGTATTGCCGTGCATTACATATAACAACGTCTTCCCTGCAGATATGAAATGGGTATTGCAGGCACATATAAAATGTTTTCAACATGCAAAATAATAATTAATAATAATAATGATAATAATATAAATAATATAATATAATATGCAGACAGATATGTTTTTTGCATGTATTTCTGTGTGTGTGTATTGTGATAATGCATGTAGGATGTAAATGAACATGTATTGTGTGAGTGGATAAATTTGTGCATGTGTGTATTTCTGTGTGAATGCATAATTTTATGCATGCCGTGTGTATGTTTGTGTAAATGCATTGTAAGTAATTCATAATTAGTTACTTGTTTGTATGTCAAAGCAAGGTGTTTGTGTGAGAATGCATGACGAAAGTGTTTGAATCCATGAATGTAACAAGTACAGTTTGGAATGCACTCATTGACATGGTTCTGTTGTCTAGTGTCCCCAGGCACTGACCCCCATTTCATTGTTAAAACATTTTCAAACATTTTAATAGTGAATCAGGATGCCTGGGTATCTGCACCCCAGTCGCTCACTAAAGGAACAACTGAGAGTTATACTCCACCTTACACCATACCAAATCACACCAGCAATTGCAGACAGTGATAGGCTCAGAGTTTTATTTTGGGCTTACACCTTTAGGCATGTGTCTATTCTGAATATTGGTTTAGTCCATATGGCTCATGTTTTACCTGTTTTGTCTCTCCTCATTGCCTAACTATTTATGCAATAAGGTAAAATGTTAATTATTTCTCAAATAGTACATTCCACTAAGCTGTAAATTCTATATTAAACTGAGATGTTAAAATATTTATTCTGGACCAAAATTGTGCAAATTGTGTGTGTAAGAGTGAATGGTGGAGTGTGTGAGAGTGTGAGATAAACCCTATGATTAAAACAATATTGTATTTTTTAATTCCTAGCTGTTTAGATATTTTCTGCAACCTACAGTCTGCTAGAAATCTGTAGGTTGTATTATGTTATGGTTAAGTTGTGGAACTTCAGGCCTTGAGGTTTTTATATTTCAGAAATTTTCATATGATTTCATGATTTTATGTGCTCCCGTAAACGATTATGAACATGTGGAGGGAATCATGGGACATTAGCAATTTGCATAAAATGCTAGGCTGTAGCAGGCATGTGCATGGGAAAAAATTTCGGTTCGGTTCGGCATTCCGAAATTCGGGACTTCGGCAATTCGGCACTTTGGCAATGCGGCACTTCGACACTTCAGAACTTCGGCACTTCGACACTTCGGAAATTCAGTAATTTCGGAACTTCAGGACCTCGGCACTTCGGCAATTCGACACTTCGGAACTTATTTTGCACCCGCTTGGTAGATAACTCCCTAATTCCCACGGTATTAGGGAGTTATCTACCAAAAGGCTGAAAGACCTAAATTAGTCTTTCAGCCAAATTTACTAATACTAAGTAAAGATTAGGGGCATCTCTAGTAAACAGTGAGCAGCTAGAGGCGCGAGTGGGGGCTTTTAAACTAAAGGGGCCTATTGCCCCCTCCCCCGGCCTCCACCCCTGAGCGGCAAGTGGGGGCCCTAAAGTAAAATAATGGGGGGGGACCTATTGTCCTCCCCCCGGCCACCACCCCTGAGCGGTGGGTGGGGGCCCTAAATTAGAATAAGGGGGAAGGACCTAATGTCCTCCCCCTGGCCCCCACCCGCTGCTCTGGTAATATGATGGGGGGGACCTAAGCGGCGGGTGGGGGCCCTAAATAAAAAATTAACCCCCCCTCCCAAGGTGACTAGGGGTCCCCAAACCCCTAGTCACCCCCCTCCCACAATAAAATAACCCCTACCTACCCCCCTCACCCTAAAAATAGTGAGAGGGGACCATTAGCTAAGTACCTGTTAAAAAAATAAAATAAAACTTAGCATTTGATGTTTTCTTTCTTCTAAACTCTTATTTTTTCAGCCCCAAAAAAGGCCAAATAAAAAGCCATAATAACCAACGCACTAAAAAAAAAAATATTAATCTTCACCCGGCGAGGGCTCCGCGCAGACTGAACTCTGCAGGGCGGGGGAAGGCTTATAAAACCTTGCTCCACCCTGCAATTAGGCTCAGAGCACTGTGATTGGTGGGTTTAAGCCATCCAATCAGAGTGCTCTGACAGGTAAATGAAGAGACTGACAGGTAAGTCTCTATATTTACATGTCACAGCACTCTGATTGGTTGGCTTGAAATCCCCCAATCAGAGTGCTCTGTGTCATTTTACACCTCGTGGGAAAGTTCTTTGGAATTTTCCCACGCTGTGTAATTTGACTCATAACACTCTGATTGGTTACTTAATCCACCAATCAAAGTGTTATGAGTCAAATTACACAGCATGAGGGGGTAGGTAGGGGTTAATTTTTTTGGGCAGGGGGTGACTAGGGGTTTGGGGACCCCTAGTCACCTGGGGAGGGGGGGTTAATTTTTTATTTAGGCTCCCACCTGCCGCTCAGGGGTGGGGGCCAGGGGGAGGACAATAGGCCCCCCTCATTCTAATGTAGGGCCCCCACCCACCGCAAAGGGGTGGGGGACAGGGGGGAAGAAATTAGGTCCCCCCTTATTAGTATTTAGGGCCTCCACCCACCGCTCAGGGGTGGGGGCCAGGGGGGAGGACACTAGGTCCCCCCCCCTCATTCTAATGTAGGGCCCCCACCCACCGCTCAGGGGTGGAGGCCAGGGGAGAGGACATTAGGTCCCCCCCTCATTCTAATGTAGGGCCCCCACCCACTGCGAAGGGGTGGGGGCCAGGGGGGAAGAAATTAGGTCCAACCCTAATTAGTATTTATGGCCCCCACCCACCGCTCAGGGGTGGGGGCCAGGGGGAGCACATGAGGTCCCCCCCTCATTCTAATTTAGGGCCCCCACCCACCACTCAGGGGTGGGTGCCAGGGGGGAGGACATTAGGTCCTCCCCCTTATTCTAATTTAGGACCCCCACCCGACGCTCAGGTGGGTGTTCCTTGGCATCAGAGAAGGAGCATACCCTTCTGGTAATGGCAAGCATCACAATGGTTTGAGAAGTGGACAGCCTTATATGTGGCTTAGAAAAACACTAGCATGTCATACATATATTATTCTTCCCATCCCATCACATCACAAACAGAATGGCGACAAAGGATGACAGAGCTGAATCCAATGGTTATTATTTCCTCTATACATGTAATTAATCGAGAGTCCCAAAATTTAGATTTTTTTTTCTCACTAGGGGACTAATTACTGAAATCTCTTCTTTGGGATTCCTAGGGACTTATCTTTTGGGGTGATTTTTAGTGTTTTAGAACAGAGTGATGCTCTTTACCGCACTACCAAAAAGGGTTAAATAAGTCAGAGGTTTTAGGGATTAGAAAATTCTCTTTTTTTTTTCATTGTTGAGTTTAACTAGACCAATGCTGATTTCATTTGTACAACCATCCATTATGTGGTCATATAGGTAACAGGGAATTATTTATTTATTTTTTAATGAAAAAAAAAAAAGCAGGTATGACAATTGACTCAGAAATATGATAATGTCAGGAATTTCCATGAATAATAAAACTAAACGACTGATTGTTGGCAATCACAATATCACCTTTTCAACTGCTTTCTGACAAATATTCATGGATTTTTACAACATGATTTTTAGCGAAATCTGGTAGGTAACATTACTTTTTCTTTCTGTAAAGTTTTTTTTTATTTACTGCAAATGTTTAGATTAAATTTAAAAAACTACTATCACAAGGAAGCACAGAGTCAGTAATTTGACATGGTATTTTCAAAAGGAAGTTAAGACATTTACTCTGACTGAAAGCCTTTGTTCTGCAAAAAAAAAAATCCCCTAGAATTTTGAGTCTAAGTTGTACTTTTAAAAATGAAGATATACAAATAAAATAGACTCCATTTAAAATCTGTATATTATATATGTTTTTATAGCATATTTGATTTAAATGTGCAGATAATAAAAAACATGTTTTTTCACTTAGCGCTAAAATAAAAATAATACTGCAATGCTTTTAGGGTCATGTAAAAAATGTTTTTAAGTTAAGAAGTCTAATTTCAGGTGTTACATATTTGTGTCTATGTTTTAATAATCAATAACTGGGAGGGTTAATTGTGTAGATGCAGTACAATACGTGCAAGCCAGCAGCCACCTTAAAGCAAATAAGCCTCTAAAAGATACTCATATTACTATAAAGGAGGTTTTAAACCTTCCTATGCCTACACTTTCCTTAGACAAGTGGGGGCATATCTATTAAATATTTAAAAGAAGTAACTTAGCAACCATGGGGAAAGGAACTGTAAAATAACTGGGGTGGGGGAGGTACATAATACCCCTCATAGGCATAGGGTGGGGAACTTTAAATTTGATAAAGGGGCTTAGATCACTTTCCCCTGCTAACACTTGTAATCAGCAGCTGGGGCTATTCACTAAACAGAGAGGACCTAGTGTCTTACCCGCCTCCACCTTTTGACGACAGGTGGGGCTATTATAATTGGGTGGACCTTTTGTCCCTAACCTCCAACCATTGGCAGCAGGTGGGGCTCAAAATAATTATTCAAGAGAGGTAGACATTGAATTCTCCACCTCCCCAATTAGTGGCAGGGTCAAGCTCCCTGAGAGGCTAGGGATACCCAAGGCCCTTTCCGCCATTCTGAAATTAAATTAACCCTTCTTACCACCCTCACGCTAATAGCAGTGTTAAACTAAACTTCTTTATTTTGGAGTGTAGAAGAAAGGGGGCAGGGCCGGATTAACATAGGGGCTGATGGAGCTGCAGCTCCAGGCCCAGGCCCATGGAATAGGCCCATTGATTTATAAAAAAAAAAATTATTACATTTTTATTTTTCACACACTACTCTTAGGGATTCCACCTTTTATTTTATTGGCACAGCCAGTATTTGAGGCTGCCTGGCTGGTGCCAATATTGCAGTGATACTGGCAATACAAATGCTGGTGTTTTTATCAGTATAAATGGAGAATATCAGCACTGGCCAGTAGGGGTCGCTGTATGTGGAGACAGGCAGGGATAGGAAGTTCCAGCATATCCCTCCCTGCCTATCTATACTCACTGATCTGCAGGGGTGCAGCTACAGAGAGTCCAGACAGCAACTCCCACCCTGCAGAGACAGCCTACAGCTCAGGGAAGTAAGGGATGGGGGGACAGGCTGCAAGGAGACATGGGGACACTGAGACACTAAGGGGTACTGGGAGACATTATGGCAGACACTGAGACACTAAGGGACATTGGGAGACATTATGGCAGACACTGAGACACTAAGGGACATTGGGAGACATTATGGCAGACACTGAGACACTAAGGGACATTGGGAGACATTATGACACAGACACATGGGGACACAGTGTCCCCATGTCTCCCAGCCAGTGTCCCTGGTGTCTCAGTGCCCCCTAGTCTCCCAGTGCCCCCAGTCTGCCAGTGTCTCACTGTCCCCATGTCTCCTAGTGCCTCCATGTCTCCCAGTACCTCAAGTGTCTCAATGTCCCCATGTCTCCAAGCTAGTGTCCCTAGTGTCTGTGGCCCTGGTGTCTCCTTGCCCCAATGTCTCCCAGTGCCCCAATGTCTCAATGTCCCCATGTCCCCCAGCCAGTGTCTCTAGTGTCTGTGTCCCTGGTGTCTGTGTCCCCATGTCTTCAAGTGTCCCCTATTTTCCCAGTGTCCCCATGCATCCCAGCCAGAGTCCCCTAGTCTCCCAGTGTCACTGGTGTCTCTGTGTCCCCAGGTGTCTCCGTGTCCCTAGGTCTCCCTGTGTCCCCAGGTCTTCCCATCTTCCTAGTGACATGGGGACCCTGGGATACATGGGGACACAGGGCGGCATGGGGCATTGAGACACTGTTATACATAGGATCAGGATCACCTGGGGACACGACACTAGGGGACACTGGGAGACATGGGGCACTGAGACACTGATACATAGGAACACTGAGACCTGGAGTAATCGACACATGGGGGCACTGAGTCATGAGGGCACTGGGAGACATGGGGGCACTGGGAGGAATCCATCTATACAGCAGAATCAAACTAAGTCGTTTTTTGGTGATTTTATAGCATTTTCTCTTATGTCACTCCTTGTGATTTACATCATGTGATGGCACCCATACATATTTAATTATGCAAATTAGCAAGGCCGGTATGTTTTTCCAAGAAAGGTGGCAACCCTAACTACTTTTCACATACTCTTACTTAAGTATGGAAACTTAAGAGGGATGTATGGGAACAAAACTTGTGTGGACTGGCTGACAATGAATATAGTTAAAGGGACACTAGAGTCACCAGAAGAACTACAGCTCATTGAATTTGTTCTGGTGAGTAGAATCATTACCGTCAGGCTTTTTGCTGTAAACACTGTCTTTTCAGAGAAAATGCAGTCTACATTACAGCCTAGTGATTACGTCACTGGCCACTCCTTAGATGGCTGTTAGAGATCCTTCCTGGGTCAGGGCTGCCTAAAATGCATCCAAACATTCAGTATCTCCTCCCTCTGCATGCAGACACTGAACTTTCCTCATAGAGATTCATTGCTTCAATTCATCTCTATGAGGAGATGCTGATTGGCCAGGGCTGTGTTTAAATCATGCTGGCTCTGCCCCTGATCTGCCTCTTTGTCAGTCTCAGCCAATCCTATGGGGAAGCACTGTGATTGGATTAGGCCACCACTTCTAATGATGTCAGCAGACTGCTTGTTTTTCTGAGTCTAACAGCATGCAGAGTTACAGCTTCAGGCTTGAATACAGTAAGATTTTGCTATATTTATGGAGGCATGAGGGGCCCAGTGGGGGCTAGATGGTGGTGTTAACACTATAGGGTCATGAATTCATGTTTGTGTTCCTGACCCTATAGTGATCCTTTAAGGTAATGCTGACTTTGGTCTCTCTAACACTGTGGCATGTTCCCTTTCTTCTACACTCACTACATACAGCTTTTCTCTGTCCCAGACCATATACCAGGAGCTTCTGCCTGCTAGTAAGAAGGTAAGGAGACAAGTGGACCAGCGAGTGCTAGGGAACAGTCCTTAGAGTGAGCGCATCCTTAGATGCATTTATGCCAAGCTCAGGGTGCTGTCTGCATAGTATGCCCTTAGTTGGCCAGCTGCATGATTGGCAGGCAACCTGACATGCATTCATACCAGGCTGGCCTTCTAATTCTTTGGGCAGACATATCCTCTTTTTGGGCATGTTCGCCCCTTTTGGCAGGTTACGTGATTTGTGTCAGTGGCCCGCCCATTGACTTCCTGCTTGACTGGACACTGCTGTTAGGGGTTATGGATTTAGTTGAAAGATGAAAACATAAATTAGTGAGAGATTAGCCTAGGGTATGTGTTTTCTTATAGCTGCTGTTTTCTTTCTCTCCAGCACCATCTCCATCAGATACATGACGCTTGGGAGTGTTTTACTGTTTTTGGTCGATATGATTCTGTAATTAGGCCCGTCATGATTGTCAGCACCAGGCCCACTGGGCTCTTAATCTGGCCCTGAAAGGGGGGTATGTCACACTGCAGGGAGACCAAAGCGGCAAGAGCATTTGCACAGTGCGCAGTCATCTTTACCTTAACTAATTTATAGTCAGCCAGTCCACACAAGTTTGGATCCTCTGCATTCTTCTTAAGTTCCCATTCTTAATTTTTCTGCACGAAGCAAGAGTAGTAATAAAAAAAAATGTTGTGACAGTTGTAATGGTGGACTGTGATGGGCATTGTTGTATACAACAATCTCTCTTCGCCTCAGTGAGTTACTTGGGATACCTTACAGCACACTTTCAGTCATTCCCCTATTTTCCTGATATACAATTATTAAAAAGACACATTAATCCCTTAAGGACACATGACATGTGTGACATGTCATGATTCCCTTTTATTCCAGAAGTTTGGTCCTTAATGGGTTAAACTTAAAAAAAAAAATGTAAAGTTGTTTCTATCACTGGTGCGACCTCACTTGGAGTATTGTACGCAGTACTGGAGACCGTATCTCCAGAAGGATATTGATACTTTAGAGAGAATTCAGAGAAGGACTACTAAACTGGTTCATGGATTGCGGGATAAAACTTACCAGGAAAGGTTAAAGGATCTTAACATGTATAGCTTGGAGGAAAGACGAGACAGGGGGGATATGATAGAAACATTTAAATACATAAAGGGAATCAACACAGTAAAGGAGGAGACTATATTTAAAAGAAGAAAAACTACAACAACAAGAGGACATAATCTTAAATTAGAGGGGCAAAGGTTTGAAAATAATATCAGGAAGGATAACGTTACTGAGAGGGTAGTGGATGCATGGAATAGCCTTCCAGCTGAAGTGGTAGAGGTTAACACAGTGTGGGAGTTTAAAGGGACACTATAGTCACCTGAACAACGTTATCTTAGTGAAGCAGTTTTTGTGTATAGAACATGCCCCTGCAGCCTCACTGCTTAATCCTCTGCCATTTAGGAGTTAAATCCCTTTGTTTATGAACCCTAGTCACACCTCCCTGCATGTGACTTACACAGCCTTCCATAAACACTTCCTGTAAAGAGAGCCCTATGTAGGCTTTCTTTATTGCAAGTTCTGTTTAATTAAGATTTTCTTATCCCCTGCTATGTTAATAGCTTGCTAGACCCTGCAAGAGCCTCATGTATGTGATTAAAGTTCAATTTAGAGATTGAGATACAATTATTTAAGGTAAATTACATCTGTTTGAAAGTGAAACCAGTTTTTTTCATGCAGGCTCTGTCAATCATAGCCAGGGGAGGTGTGGCTAGGGCTGAATAAACAGAAACAAAGTGATTTAACTCCTAAATGACAGTGAATTGAGCAGTGAAATTGCAGGGGAATGATCTATACACTAAAACTGCTTTATTTAGCTAAAGTAATTTAGGTGACTGTAGTGTTCCTTTAAGCATGCATGGGATATGCATAAGGTTATCCTAACTATAAGATAAGGCCAGGGACTAATGAAAGTATTTAGAAAATTGGGCAGACTAGATGGGCCAAATGGTTCTTACTGTCATCATATTCTATGTTTCTATGTTTCTAAACACCATAGCCACTACAGCTTATTGGAGTAATAACATTAAAAAAAAATCTTTGGATGCCATATAAACCTTATTGTGTTAAACCATTTTGGAGTGGAGTAACACAAAATTGAGCTCTACTGGCATCTAAAGACCAGCCCTTTTTCTGCTGCCAAGATAATGTGGAAGTGAACATCCACATAAATTGTCCAACATTGGACAGCAGTGCAGTTTACTATCAGCCACAGCAGGTAAACCAGACTTTAGGTACAGGAAGAGCACTGGGTTTTGGAAAAGGGATTAAAAGTTTAGTGGCACCCAACAACCATAATCACTTCTATTGTGTTCATAATAACTGTTATGCTGTTTAGTGTTACAATTTGACTAACATATTAATTGCTCTTTCCATAGCCTAACTCTGATTTACCTTATGAGGTTTGTGCACCCACTATATTGACCTAACCCCATTATATCTTCTGACTTGACTTTATAATGTGTTGAGCAGGACACACATTTATACAGCTGGTAATTGTTCTAGTCCATTTTGAATTTTTGCTGTATTTTTGTTTGGGCACAAAAATCGTTCCCTGTCCTAAATTTTCTTACATGTTTTGCGTACCCACTCCTGGTGTCCCATAAATAAATTGATAGTACAAATAAAGATGCTGTTTTGAAAACTCTGTAGAAAAAAACTATACTGCACCATAACTTTAAAATGATGGTTTCTTTATTATATTACAGTTGAGCAGAAATTCATCACTTTTTTCAACAAGTTTGAGAGACAATCTTCAGAAAAAGATCAGCATCTTAGAACAACAGCTATACAACAAGCACAATGAAACTGGTCACCATGACAAGGACCATGATCGTACGCTTGAAGACTCAATTAGACACAAATTGGACAGTACATTACCGGGGAATGAGAAAGGTAAATTCCACCAAGAATACATAATAATTTATCAAACTGCATGTATGTTAATGTCATGTACTTCATCATGAAAATATCTATTTAGATCCAAAACAGGAAGCTTGTCAAATTGGATATTTTCCACTCACTGATTTACTTTAATGTGGCATTAAAAGTATTAAGCATTTTGCTCTTAATGCATATTGAAATTAAAAGGTCACATACAAACCCTACACTTTACCATCAGCCACAACATTAAAACCACTGAGAGGTGTAGTGAATAACATTGAGTATATTGTTACAATGACACCTATCAAGAAGTGGGATATGTAGGGCAGCAAGTGACCAGTCAGTTATTGAATTTCATGTGTTGGAAAAATGGACAATTGAAAACATCTGAGTAACTTTGACAAGGACTAAAGCGTGATGGCTAGATGACTGGGTTGGAGCAAGTCTTGTGGGGTGTTGACAAATGAAGTGGTTAGTACCTACCAAAAGTGGTCACACAAAACAAGATATGAAGAACTGGATAAAAAGATTCAGATATAGCAAAAAAAAATATCAGAAAAAAATAGTACTCACAAATGTAGCAAAGCCTCTTACTGCTGCTCAAACAGTGAAAATCCACAGTACAAATCAAACAAATAGAGGCTGCGCAAAATGTTGCTATGTGCACAAACAAAGTGCTACCAAAATTTATTGGAGGACAGAAGAATAAACAGACGTTTTGGGTACAACCCTTTTCCAATGCACCATGTCAGGGTGCAGGGACATGGTTCATTGAAAAAGGGTTGTACCCAAAACATTTGTTTATTCTTCTGTCCTCCAATAAATTTTGGTAGCACTTTGTTTGTACACATAGCAACATTTTGCGCAGCCTCTATTTGTTTGATTTGTACTACCAAAAGTGGTGAAAGGAAGGACAACTGGTGAACTAGCAACAATACACAGGCGCCCAAGGCTCTTTGATGCATGTGAGTAGTGAAGGCTAGCCCATCTGGTGTGATTACACTGCTGAAAACCCATGGGTGTGATTACACTGCTGAAAAACCATTTATGTGGATGCTACTTTGACACATACCACCTATCTAGTGATTGTTGCACACCACATACAATCCTTCATGGCAATGGTTTTCCCTGATGACAGTGGCCTCTTTTAGCAGGATAATGCACCCTGCCAAATGGAAAAAATATTAAGGAATAGTTTAAGGAACATGAAAAAGAGTTCAAGGTGTTTTCTTGGTCTCCATATTCCCCAGATCTCAATCCAACTGAACAGTGTTCAAACTAAAAGAAATCAGTCTAGATAAAAATTCTTGTTCTTGGGTAGAAAACTGGCTTAAAGATAGAGTACAGAGAGTTGTCATTAATGGTAAATTTCCAAGCTGGACAAAAGTGGAAAGTGGTGTTCTGTTCTGAGTCCCTTCTATTTAACACATTTATAAATAATCTTGATATAGGCATTAAAAGCCATGTTTCAATATTCGCAGATGATACAAAACTCTGTAAAGTAATGCAAAGTGAGCAGGCTATTGCTTTGCGGCAGAGGGATTTAGTAAGTTGGGGGGACTGGGCACTCAAATGGCAGATGAAATTTAATGTAGCAATATGCAAAGTTATGCACTTTGGAGTAAAGAAAACACAAGCAACTTACACCCTAAATGGTAGTGAATTGGGGATAACTACACATGAAAAGGATCTGGGAATTGTTATACACAACAAACTAGGCAACAATCTGCAATGTCAATCTACTGTTGCTATGGCCAGTAAGGTATTGTCATGCATAAATAGTGGCATTAATACTCAGGATGAGAATATAATTTTGCTTCTTTATAAATCACGGGTGAAACCACACCTTAAATATGTTGTGCAATTTTAGGCACCTGTTCTAAAGAAGGATATCATGGCACTAGAAAAAGTGCAGAGGGGGACTACAAAATTGATGAAAGAAATGAAGCATTACAGTTATGAAGAAAGGATAACAACATTTGGTGTAATTTTTGTTTGGAAAAATGGCGCCTCAAAGGGGATGTGATAGAATTATACAAATATATTCGTGGCCAATACAAACCATTGTCTGGAAATCTGTTCATAAATAGGACCATACATAGCACACAAAGTCATGCATTCAGACTGTAAGAGATGAGATTTAGTCTACGGCAAAGAAAAGGAAAGGGTTTTTTACAGTAAGAACAATAGGGATGTGAAATTCTCTGACTGAAGAGGTGGTTTTATCAGAGTCTATACCGATGTTTAAGCAGCAATTGCATAGATACTTGCAAAAACAAAATATACAAGGATATAATTTTAATTAGTGTGGTAATAGCTTCTTGATCCAGGAAGATATCTGACTGCCATTCTGGGGTCAAGAAGGAATTTGTTCCTAGTTTGTTGCAAAATTGGATGTGCTTCAGACTAGGTTTTTTGCCTTCTTTTAAATCAACAGCAAAAATAAATGTGAGAAAGGCTGAACTTGATGGACGAATGTCTCTTTTCAGCTATATAACTATGTAATTATCAGTGAGATGGGCTGGAACAACAAATCCAATCCATCGAGAACCCATCTGGTGCCAAATACCACAGTGCTGTTGTGGCAGGATGAGGGGAACCTACACAATATTAGGTAGGTGGTTTCAGTGTTATGGCTGATCAGAGTATGCATGTAATATCAGTTCCAGCAACCTAACAACAGGTACATACACCCACACAGTACACACCAACCACATATCCACTAGAAACCACAAATGACCTGCAAATCATTCATAACATATGTAGCACTAGTCATTGGAAAAGTCTCCATATTTATCTCAATCATTAGAACCTTTCAAGTTCATTAATGGTTTGTAATTAAAAAATAAATAAAAATACACTCTTTTCCATTAACACTGTCTCATCTCGTATGAGGTCTGTTCGTAAAAAGTTCAGCTATTGTTAATATAACGAGAACAGTTTGCATGACATCAATGTAACCTGGCAGCCACGGTGAGTGGACTGGAATCCACATGTGTGAACAATGACTGTACTAGTCAGTGGGGGCACTAGACGCCGTTTAGTGAGCATATATTTGTGTGGCCACTGTTTTCAAAATAATGGGTAGAGCAACAAATCTGCATCAAATTTAGTTTTAAGCTTGAATATTCCTCCATGGAAACTATTCAGGTGATTTAGAAGGCTTTCGGGGACGATGCAATGAGCACAGCGCTAATAAAAGTGTGGCACAAACGTTTTTTCAAAGATGGTCGGAAATCTGTTGAAAGATTTGGCGCCCTGCAACTTCTGACTTTTCCCAAAGCTAAAATCACCTTTGAAAGTGTTTTGAACAGTGTAAAAGACACTGGAAGGACTGTTTGTGGTCCCAAGATGCTGGGCCAGATTAAGAGCCCAGTGGGCCTGGTGCTGACAATTATGATGGGCCTAATTACAGAATCATATTGACCAAAAACAGTAAAACACTCCCAAGCTTCATGTATCTGATGGAGATGGTGCTGGAGAGAAAGAAAACAGCAGCTATAAGAAAACACATACCCTAGGCTAATCTCTCACTAATTTATGTTTTCATCTTTTAAGTAAATCCATAACCCCTAACAGCAGTGTCCAGTCAAGCAGGAAGTCAATGGGCACGGTAAAAGGGTGTGCCAATGACACAAATCACGTAACCTGCCAAAAGGGGCGAACATGCCCAAAAAGAGGATATGTCTGCCCAAAGAATTAGAAGGCCAGCCTGGTATGAATGCATGTCAGGCTGCCTGCCAATCATGCAGCTGGCCAACTAAGGGCATACTATGCAGACAGCACCCTGAGCTTGGCATAAATCCATCTAATGATGCACTCGCTCAACGCTTTCTAAGGACTGTCCCCTAGCACTCGCTGGTCCACTTGTCTCCTTACCTTCTTACTAGCAGGCAGAAGCTCCTGGTATATAGTCTGGGACAGAGAAAAGCTGTATGTAGTGAGTGTAGAAGCACATTGTTAGAGAGACCAAAGTCAGCATTACCTTAAAGGATCACTATAGGGTCAGGAACACAAACATGAATTCATGACCCTATAGTGTTAACACCACCATCTAGCCCCCCTGGGCCCCTCATGCCTCCATAAATATAGCAAAATCTTACTGTATTCAAGCCTGAAGCTGTAACTCTGCATGCTGTTAGACTCAGAAAAACAAGCAGTCTGCTGACATCATTAGAAGTGGTGGCCTAATCCAATCACAGTGCTTCCCCATAGGATTGGCTGAGACTGACAAAGAGGCAGATCAGGGGCAGAGCCAGCATGATTCAAACACAGCCCTGGCCAATCAGCATCTCCTCAGGAAGGATCTCTAACAGCCATCTAAGGAGTGGCCAGTGAAGTTATCACTAGGCTGTAATGTAAAGACTGCATTTTCTCTGAAAAGACAGTGTTTACAGCAAAAGGCCTGACGGTAATGATTCTACTCACCAGAACAAATTCAATAAGCTGTAGTTGTTCTGGTGACTCTAGTGTCCCTTTAACTATATTCATTGTCAGCCAGTCCACACAAGTTTTGTTCCCATACATCCCTCTTAAGTTTCCATACTTAAGTAAGAGTATGTGAAAAGTAGTTAGGGTTGCCACCTTTCTTGCAAAAACATACCGGCCTTGCTAATTTGCATAATTAAATATGTATGGATGACATCACATGATGTAAATCACAAGGAGTGACATAAGAGAAAATGCTGTAAAATCACCCAAAAACTACTTAGTTTGATTCTGCTGTATAGATGGATTCCTCCCAGTGGGCCCATGTCTCTCAATGCCCCCATGTGTCGATTACTCCAGGTCTCAGTGTTCCTATGTATCAGTGTCTCAGTGCCCCATGTCTCCCAGGGTCCCCTAGTGTCATGTCCCCAGGTCTCCCAGTAATCCTATGTATCACAGTGTCTCAATGCCCCATGTATCCCAGGGTCCCCATGTCACTAGGAAGACGGGAAGACTTGGGGACACGGGGAGATCTAGGGATACGGAGACACCAGTGACACCGGGAGACTAGGGGACTCTGGCTGGGACGCATGGGGACACTGGGAAAATAGGGGACACTTGAAGACATGGGGACACAGACACCAGGGACACAGACACTAGAGACACTTGCTGGGGGACATGGGGACATTGAGACATGGAGACACCAGGGCCACAGAGACTAGGGACACTAGCTTGGAGACATGGGGACATTGAGACACTTGGAGACATGGAGGCACTGGGAGACATGGGGACAGTGAGACACTGGCAGACTGGGGACACTGGGAGACTAGGGGGCACTGAGACACCAGGGACACTGGCTGGGAGACATGGGGACACTGGGAGACATGGGGTCACTGTGTCCCCACGTGTCTGTTTCATAATGTCTCCCAATGTCCCTTAGTGTCTCAGTGTCCCATGTCTCCTTGCCGCCTTTCCCCCCATCCCTTACTTCCCTGAGCTGACCAGCAAAGTCGTTGGCATACACTAAACGTATTGTCAGGTTTCAGAAACTAACTTGAAATAGCATGTGCTTTGTGAACTAGCCATTAGAAGACATTTACACCGAGTTATAACCATACCATAAGCATAACTCAGTCGAAACACATCAGATTTATTTTCAGTTTTTTTTTTTACTGTCCAGTGTTGGTGCTTCTTTGTCTGCTGTAGCATAATTGTCCTGGATATTCTGGTGCATTCATTTTCCACTGCTGTAGTGGATTCACTTGAAGCGTCAACGTGTTTTGCATAGATGCCATTCTGCAAATCACTGTTATAATGTGTTGTTATTTTAGCTGCTGTTGTCTTCCTGTGAGTGTAAACAATTCTGACCCCTCACATTAACAAGGCAATTTTGCCCCCAAAAATATATGATTTTTTAAAATTCTCAGTAAACTCTAGGGACTGTTGTGGCCAAAAATCCAAGATCAGCGGTTTGTTTTATATTCAAACCACCACATTTGTTACTAAAAATCATTCAGCTTTCCTGTTCCAGATTAAACATATTTGGCTTTGTCCACTAAACCAGAAGGATAAATCACAACAGAAATACAAATCTTAAGTCAAAAGAGCGGACTTGGAAATTGGAAAAGAAAAATCTTGAATTATTTATTTGTTTATTTATTGTTTGTTTTACATAAAACGTACAATCCTCTAGTCCAGGGGTAGGCAACCTACGGCACTGGTGCCATGCACGGCACTCGAGGTGACTTTGCACGGCACTCAAGGCTGCTAGAGCCAAACAGGCTCTGCCCTATCAGGAGTCCCAGTGAACCTTCAGATATCTGCTAATACGAAGAGGTGGTGAAGGGCAATCCTCAATTTATGCATTGCAGCACATAGAGGAAGTGATCTCAGAGCACTTCATTCCAGCACTTGTGAATGGGAATCCACACTGTAGTAGAGCAGCTTGCAGCTGCTGTTGCAGCTCCTATACTTGAGCTACACCTGGCCAGCCTGGTCCCCACTGGAACCTAGGGAAGCCACCCATACAGCTAGATATACACAGAAATAACCCTCCCCTCATACAAATAATACGAACAGCCCATACACAAACATACACACAATCCCCACAAACGCAAAACCACTAACTATCCACATACATGCACACAACCCCACATGCAGCATCTCACATGCAATACCCCAAACAGCCCCCACACACTACCAAACACACAAGGTGACATTTCCATCCACACACAATTCCACAAGCAGCCCTCATACACAGCCCACATTCATAGGTATCATACACGATACCATAAAGTACTAATAAACATATACAATATAATAGCTCCTATACACACAAATACAACGATACAAAGCAATTGCAGTAAAAATAACACAAGCAGAATACGGCAGCATACATACCTCAATTTAAAAAAATAGGATCAGCACGCTAAGGGACATCACAATCCTATATCGGCACAGTGCTGCTAAAAGGTTGCCTACCCTTGCTCTAGTCCATTCTTTCCAATTCTCAGTTTATACAACAAATTCAAATTGAAAGTGACGATGCAGCTATGGGTGTAAAGATTATGAACTCTCAGGTATTAGAAGCAACTGAAGGCAACAATGCCACTGCAAAACAGGAAAATGTAATGTAACAAAAACAAACAAACAAATAAAAAAAAGACTACTAGATAAAAATAGGATAAGAAGTATAGAAAAGCTGTTGCAACCAACAAACACCTACACATATTTCTTTTCCGTTTAAAAAAAAAAAAAAAAGTTTTGTGTTACAAAAAAAATATTCAGTAATCTCAAAATGCAAAGTACTGTAAAGTATCGTGTATATACAATTTTAAAATTTACTAAGAATACAGTATTGTTAAAAAAAAAAGTATAATAAAACAGAATGTAGACTATCAAAGGATTTGAATAGTCCAAGCGCAATTATAATTTAAGTGAATTGAAGTAGTCATGGTGCCTGGAGATTGTGTTTTGCTATGAAAGTCTGTACATACAGAGTTTAACCCCTTTGCTGCAAGAGGTGTAATGTCACCACCTACAGTGTCATTGGGCCATCATTAGCCAGCCCAGAGCAAGAGTTCCAGGCTAGCTAGTGTTAATTCTGTGCATATTCTGTGCACAGAAGGTCATTCATTGGCTAAGAGTGATCAGCTGATGCCCTCCACCAATAAATGACTAGCGGGATCAGTATTTGACTCTGCAGAAGGCGGATGTGGTTCAGCCACAATCGTTCGACCCTCTGCACCTTGCTGGAACAAGTAATTGTGAAAACTGTTGTGAAACGGGTTGTCCCAAAGCTGGGAAATGGTGGCAAGGTTTCTTCAGTATATATTAATAAGGATCCTATGGCAAGAGATATGCAAATGATTGCTGCAAAAAACGTGCAGATAACTTGTGATTGGATAGCTATTAAAGAAAATTCATGTAAATAAAGCTCCGGGGCCTGACGGTATTCACACACAAGGGGAAATAAGTGAACCTCTGTATTTCATTTTTCAAGATTCTTTTGTTTCAGATATTGTACCAGAGGATTGGAGGAAGGCAGATGTTGTTCCTATATTTAAAAAAGGGTTCAAAATCCTTGCCTGGAAATTATAGACCTGTGAGCTTAACTTCTGTAACTGGGAAAATATTTGAAGGGCTACTAAGGGATAATATTCAGGAATTCATTGGGACGAACTTTGTTATTAGCAATAATCAGCATGGTTTTATGAAACATAGGTCATGTCAAACTAACCTAATTGCATTCTACAAAGAAGTAAGTAGAAGTATAGATCAGGTTGTTGCAGTGGATGTGATCTAGTTGGATTTTGCCAAGGCATTTGATACGGCTCCTCACAATAGGTTAGTCTTCAAACTAAAAGAAATTGGTCTAGATGAATATTCTTGTTCCTGGGAAGAACAATGGCTTAAGGATAGAGTACAACGAGTTGTCATTAATGGTAAATTGTCAGGCTGGACAAAAGTGGTAAGTGGTGTCCCTGAGGGTTCTGTTTTGGGAACGCTTATATTTAACATATTTATAAATGATCTTGAAATAGGCATTGAAACCCATATATCAGTATTTGCAGACGACACAAAATTTTGTAAAGTAATAAAATGTGAGCAGGATATTGCTTTGCTGCAGAGGGATTTGGATAGATTTGGGGACAGGGCACTAAAATGGCAGATTAAATTTAACATAGAGAAATGCAAAGTTATGCACTTCGGGGTTAAGAATGCACAAGCAATTTACACCCTAAATGGTAGTGAACTAGGGCTAACCACACACGAGAAGGATTTGGGAATTTTTATAGACAAGAAATTAGGTTGCAATATGCAATGTCAATCTGCAGTTGCTAAGGCCAGTAAGGTTTTGTCATGTATAAATAGGGGCATAAATTCTCTGAATGAAAATATAATTTTGCCTCTTTATAAATCACTGGTAAGACCACACCTTGAATATGCTGTGCAATTTTGGGCACCCGTTCTAAAGAAAGATATCATGTCACTAGAAAAAGTGCAGAGATGAGCTACAAAATTTATAAAAGGAATGGAGCATTTTAGTTATGAAGAAAGGTTAAATTAAATCTGTTTAGTTTGGAAAAACGGCGCCTGAGTGGGGATATGATAACATTATACAAATATACTCAGGGCCAGTACAAACCTTTATCTGGAAATCTATTCATAAACAGGGCTATACATAGGACACAAGGTCACACATTTAGGCTGGAAGAAAGGAGATTTCATCTAAGGCAAAGAAAAGGTTTTTTTTTACAGTAAGAGCAATAACGATATGGAATTCTCTTCCTGAAGAGGTGGTTTTGTCAGAGTCATTACAGATGTTTAAACTGCAATTGGATAAATACTTGTAAAAACATAACATACAGGGATATCATTTCTAATTAGTGGGGTAATAGCTGCTTGATCCAAGGAGATATCTGACTGCTATTTTGGGGTCAAGAAGGAATTTTTTCCTAGTTTGTTGCAAAATTGGAAGCGCTTCAGACTGGGTTTTTTTGCTTTTGGATCAACAGCAAAAACATGTGAGGAAGGCTAAACTTGATGGATGCAAGTCTCTTTTCAGCTATGTAACTATGTAACTATGGTTAGAGTAACCATTTAATGCACTGTATAACTCATACCTCAGTCAAGGTCTGGGATGGATTATTACTATGTCATGCTTCTGATCAGGTCACATAAGAGACTTATACCGGGGTTAACTTTAGGTTTTTTATTTGTAGACTTTGACATGGTTGGTCAAGAAAATCAATAAGTATAGCAGGACTTAAAAGGGAAGTGGAAATAAAACAGACAAAGGGAGAAAGCAGAACCCATAAACGAGATTACAGGTAAGTATATTGAGGGCTATAAAATAAATAGTTCAGACAATAAGCACCAGACCGTTTATAAAGTAGCAGGAAAACCTATAAACGCAATTATAGGCAAAAGGTGGAAGGAGAACCTATAAACAAAATCATACGTAATAGTTAGAAGGAGAACCTATAAGCGAAATTATAGGCAAGTTTAAGGAGAGATAACAGAAAAGAGAGTTAGGCAATTTGCACTAGACAGGTTATTAGGTAACAGGATAACATATAAGTAATATTACAGATAAATAAATAAATAAAAGGAAAACCTATAAATGAAAATATAAGTTACAGATAGACAAAACTAAACAGAATATAAAGGTTACATAATACAGGTTAGACGTTTAGTGGATCAACCTCTTTGGTTTGGAGGTAGTACTGCAGGTTTTAGATAGTTGTAACAGGGTCCTTAAGGATAGTTGTAGATATCAGGAATGTTTGTAATATCCAGGTTGGTTGCAGAGTTTTCAGTAGGTTAGAAACAAAGCAACAAGGAATCAAAGTCCAGGATGGAATTAAGTAGGTAGGAATTGAAGATCAGGTTTGTCCCCAAGCGTATTGATAGTAAACAGATTGGGAATAGTGATGTCGCGAACCGTTCTCGAACTTGCCGCGAACGGTTCGCCACGAACCATTCGCGGCAAACTGCGGTCAGCTGACACATCCCTGCCAATCTCCGACAGACCCTCCTTCCCAGACCCTCCTACTTCCTGGACAGCATCCATGTTGAAGGCAGCTTCAACATGGATGCTGTCCAGGAGGTGGGAGGGTCTGGGAGGGAGGGTCTGCCGGAGATTGGCAGGGATGTGTCAGCTGACCGGAGTTCGCCGCGAACGGTTCGTGGTGAACCATTCACGTCAAGTTCGTGAACGGTTCGCGACATCACTAATTGGGAATGTAGCAGGTTGAACGGATACATTGGGTTGGTTCAATGATATCCAGAATATAGCAGATTTTCTCAGTGGGAGCCAGGATCAGAAGTCTTGCCAGGATCAAAACATAAACTTCAATCAATGTAAAGGCCATTTGTTTAGCAGGGTGTGGCCTCTTACAGCAGATTCAATAATCATGCTAGCCAGGTGAGAGGAACAGTGGATTAGACTAGTGGTTTGGGAGGCCACTAGTGGTAGAAAACTGGAATTGTAGAAATAAAAACAGGAAAAATGGAACATGACTTTGGTTGTCAGATAGGATCCTGACATACTCTTTGGATTATTGATTGTATATTTTGATAAATAAATGTTCAGTTTCAAAGCTCTCAGATTAATTTTTGTAAAAACCAGCATGATATAAAAAGTATTATAATTAAATACAGAGGTTGGGGGGAATACAGTTTTATTTTGAGAAACATTATGCATCCTATGTTCTACATGAGGTTATATTTTCAAATAACTCTTATGTTCTACACAAGACTGTGTAGTCAAATAAATCATCATTCAACAGTTTCCTAAAGCTTTTTACATCCACGACTGAACTTGTAAACTCCATGGAAAGCTTAATTATTAAACCATATTATCTTCGGCTCCCGTTTACCAAATGCTGTTTTGAGAATTTCTCGATTCCATTGTTTGCTGATGATGTTTATTTAAGGGTGAGCACTATGTTCCATATTATACATTGATTATACATCACCATGTCATATCTTTCTCCAACAGGACACAAAGGTGATAAAAAATCCAAGGACTTCAGGGTCAGCTTTCCTCTTAGAACAAACTACATGTACGCCAAAGTGAAAAGGACCCTTCACCATGAGATTTTTGCCTTTACCATCTGCTTGTGGCTTAAATCTAATTCTTCCCCAGGGGTGGGAACACCTTTTTCATACTCTGTTCCTGGTCAATCCAATGAGGTGGTGCTTATTGAATGGGGAAATAACCCCATGGAATTGCTAATTAACGACAAGGTAAAGTTTGGCATCTCCTTTATTGTCTTCCTTATGATATGATACTTTGAAATAAGTAGAAAGTGTAATGTAGATGTCTTATTGTTGTGGAGGGTTGCATTTCATTCAAGTCATATTAGAGAATATATGCCCCTGCATTAATGGTATAATACAGGACTATATTATAATCTGCTTCTCAATCCTTATTAATAATGACTTTAGCCAAAGAACTGTGATTGACTTGTGTCCAAGTACAGTTACAAATGAAAGAATCTACCTTGACTACCATAGTCATTAGAATAGTATTCAAACTTTTCTTTCTTTAAGTTCTTGATTTTGTTGCTTTTGTTAAAGTTTAATTGTTTTTAATTCACTAATGTTCATTTTGGAAAAGATAAACTCAACCCCTTAAGGTAAGAGTGCACCCGAGGAGTCCTGGCACCATAACAACTTCCCTTAGAAATGTCTCATCAATCACTATAGTTAAGGGGAACTGTGGTCACCTTTGATTAAGAACATTTCTATAAGATGCATTCTCCAGTAAAACATGATAGTTTTCTCTATGGTTAAATAGCATTTAATTCTGTAGTTTCTACTGATACCTTTTATTTTGCTTAGGGTGTGTGAATTTAAAATTTATGGTTCTTCACTTCTACAAGAGTTTTCTTGCTCTGTGTAGTTAATAATGCAAAGTTTTTCTTCTCATCTGTTTAGGCTGCCACTCTTCCATTGGCTATTAATGATGCTAAATGGCATCATGTTGGCATTACTTGGTCAACTAGGGATGGTGTATGGGAGTCTTACCTGGATGGTGTAAGAAGAGGAAGTGGTGACAACTTGGCATCTTGGCATCCAATAAAACCTGGTGGAGTTTTTGTCTTAGGACAGGAACAGGTATGAAAACATTGTAACACTTTCAACCCGAAAGAGGAAAAAATCGTTTCTAGAATCAGGAAATATGATGTATTGGCAGTCTGTGCCATATTTGCACTCAGCATTACTGAATCATGATTGACGGCCGAGTGTTGTCCTTGTGCACCGCAATAGAGCACCATGGATATTAGAGAAGTTTCCTAATTAAGGTTCAAGAATATTTTCAGAGATTATGCTAATTTGATCATAACTCTAATTTCAACTCTACATTTTTAACCCTTAATCTAATCTAACTATAATATAAACCAAATCTGTTAAACTTAATCTATGCGCAAATCTCCAATTCTAATGCTTAATCCTAATCCTGACGCTTAACCCCACAGGGTACTTACTGAAATCCGATTGTCCTCACTCCGGATAAGCGATAATAGTCGTGCCCACCTTGGGGCACTCACATAGCGTAATATAAATGTATTCATATTACTTTATATTTGGATTGTTTTATATTATTTATTATATTTGCATTTATTTATTTATTTATATATTATTATTTTATTAATTTATGCACTGGCTGCACATGGTGTTAGTAGGCAAACACTGCAGACTTTTACCTTCTACCAGATCTAAGTGAATCTGGTTGAAATTCTATATTATACGTAGATTTCACATGTGAGCATTACTTATTTTATAGCAGACACTGGATGATACTGATTGAGATGTGCTTTTTCAGTTGACCTACAGGATTTGGCTTTAGAAAATATAATAATTCCAAATTAGGTTGAAATTCAGTTACTTTAACATAATATAACTGATCTGGACTGTGTTTAGACTTTAGTGAATAACCCTGCTAATATTGAACATCAAATTCAGATTCCATAACCTAAACCATAATAACCTTTTTTAAAGAAACAGTCAGGGCACCATAACAAATTTGTTAAAAAAAAGTTTTTCGGGTGCCTGGGGGCTACCTGCTACTTCCTTACATATAGGAGTTAAACCATTTACAAATGATTTACCCCCAAAGATGGCTCTCCAGCTCTGTTCCTTGCTGTCTTCTTCCATATGATCTTTCAGAAAATCAGATAGAGCAAGCTACGGATTACGGACAGCGGATGCTCTAAGCAAGTCAGTAGCTCCCCATTGATTAAAAACGGCTTGAGAAAGATAGCTTTCTCAAGCCGTTTGCCTGAGGCTTCCTCTAGTTTATTATTTGTAAGTGGATGTGAACAGTGACAGTGAGGAATGGTACTGGAGAGCCAACTTTGGGGTTAAACCGTTCGCTAATGGTCTAAAGGTAAGGAAGTGCTTGGGACTTCCTGGCACCATAACAACTTTATATTGATTAAGTTGTCATGGTTCCCAGACTGTTCCTTTAATAACAGAATGCTCTGTGCCAAAATGCTCCATTCTATACTTTAGCAGGCTGTACAATTAATAAATTACACAATTTGTGCAATATCGTGCCATTTCAGGCAACTGTAAAACATTACTTTGAAAATTATCTATGCATTCCAGTCTGTTTTAAAAAAATCAGTTAAATAATAGTAGAAAGCTATAGCTAAGCAAAACAAAATTAAAAAAAGAATACGTTTTATGTTTATTAAAGGAACACAGCAGTATTAATGTGCCACTCCACCCCACGCTGCCAAAAAAACCACCCATAACTAATTATACAAAATGAAATTATTTACCCACCTTCTTTCCAGTGCCGAGTCTCCCTCAGCGCTGCTGTAGCCTGTGGCATCCTCCTTCTAGTGTAATGTTATTGTGGAAGTGTACACAGGGCCGCCATCAGGGGGTGACAACCACACACTTAGGGTCACCCGATGGGCCCTATATTTCCAGGGGCCCAGTCAGCGATGTGGCCGTGGTATAGCGCGACCGGGCCCATTTAAAAACAAAACAAAAAAAAGCAGCTGCAAGTGCTGCTGGGAGGAAGTGGTCACTTCCTCCCAGCTCACTCCGCGCGGGAGGAGCGTGCGTGCCAGTGAAGAGGGAGCCGCGCCGACTCCCATCAGCCTCAGCCACCCTACTGCAAAGAAAAGGTAAGAGACAGGAAGGTGGCTGGAAAATGAGCTGTGTGTGTGTGTGTGTGTGTCTGTATGCATGTATGTGTAAGTCTGTATGTCTGTCTGCATGCATGTATGTCTATGTATGTATGTATGTATGTCTGTCTGTATGTATATGTCTGTGTATGCATGTCTGTCTGTATATGTATGTATATGTCTGTATGTATGCATGTCTGTATGTCTATGCATGTATGTCGGTCTGTATGCATGTATGTCTGTGTGTATGTCTGTATGTATCTCTGTGTATGTATGTATGTCTGTTTGTATGTCTGTGTATGTATGTATGTCTGTATGTATGCATGCATGTATGTCTCTGTATGTATGTCTGTCTGTCTGTATGTATGTGTCTGTATGTATGTCTGTGTGTATGTCTATGTATGTATGCATGTCTGTCTGACTGTATGCATGTATGTCTGTGTCTGTATGTATGTGTATGTCTGTATGCATGCATGTATGTCTGTCTGTATGTATGTCTAGGTATGTATATATGTATGTCATTATATATGTATATATGTATCCCTGTATGAATGTATGTCTGCATATCATTATGAACGTATGTATGTGTGTATGTGTGTATGTATGTCTGTATGCATGTATGTCTGTCAGTATGTCTGTATATATGCATGTATGTCAGTCTGAATGTATGTATGTATGTCTGTATGCCATTATGAATGTATGTCTGTATGCCATTATAAATGTATGTGTGTATGAATGTCAGTGTCTGTATGTATGAATGTATGTAAATTCAAATAGTGATCAGCACTCTCGGATTTTCAAGAATTAAAAACAACAATTTATTGAGTATCCATTAAAAGATCAACGTTTCAGTCCCAGCAGGGACTTTCATCAGGATCAGTGAGTGCAAGGACTTTTCTATTTCTATTTTTGTGTATGTATGTATGTATGTGTCTTTATGTCCTCATACATGTGTGTCTGTATGTATGTTAGTATGTGTCTTTATGTCCTCATGCATGTGTGTCTGTATGTATGTTAGTATGTGTCTGTCTGTCACTATGTATGCCTGTGTGTATGTCTCAGTATGCGTGTATGTCTGTTTCAGTATGTGTGTCTGTTAGTATGTATCTGTGTCCTTTTGTATCACTTTGTGCGTATTCCTGTGGGCGGTATTTGGAGGCGGACCCAATGGGCGGTATTTGGAGGCGGGCCCCAGACCCTGAGTTCAGTTAGGGGCCCCAAAATTTCTGGTGGCGGCCCTGGGTGTCACCCATAGTATGTATGTCTGTCTGTATGTATGTGTCTGTATGTATGTCTGTGTGTATGTCTATCTATGTATGTATGTCTGTCTGACTGTCTGACTGTATGTCTATGTATGTCTGTGTCTGTATGTATGTGTATGTCTGTATGTATGTCTGTATGCATGTATGTCTGTCTGTTTGTATGTCGATATATATATATATATATATATGTATGTCATTATATATGTATATATGTATCCCTGTATGAATGTATGTCTGCATATCATTATGAACGTATGTATGTCTGTATGCATGTATGTCTGTCAGTATGTCTGTCAGTATGTCTGTATATATGCATGTATGTCAGTCTGAATGTATGTATGTATGTCTGTATGCCATTATGAATGTATGTCTGTATGCCATTATAAATGTATGTGTGTATGGATGTCAGTGTCTGTATGTATGAATGTATTGTGATCTTTGTCTGCAGGTAGCACGGTCCTCTAGGGCAAAAACATGCACAGTCTTTCAATGCAACTTCATTCCAGGCACTTTATTTGTAAGTTTACATATGAGGCAGCAGCAAATGAAAACATAAATATAACAGGTTTCCCTTTAAACAAAAACCTAGCTCGTCTGAGCACTGACTCACTTTGTATATCCCTCTCTATCAGGGTTAAACTAACAAAAACATATTGCACCAACCTTATTAGATAGCAACACTCTGCTAGCTAGCCTGTTGCTTTCCTTTCTGCACTCCCAGTGCTCCAAGCCAGCCTTGCCCTGACTGCTTTCCTTTCTGCACTCCCAGTGCTCCAAGCCAGCCTTGACTGCTTCCTCATTCACTCCCAGTGCTCCAAGCCAGCCTTGCCCTGACTGCTTTCCTTTCTGCACTCCTAGTGCTCCAAGCCAGCCTTGACTGCTTCCTCCTGCACTCCCAGTGCTCCAAGCCAGCCTTGACTGCTTCCTCCTGCACTCCCAGTGCTCCAAGCCAGCCTTGACTGCTTCCTTTCTGCACTCCCAGTGCCTAGTCTCCTTGACTCTCTATCTGGAGAGAACAGCCTCTCTCCTACCTGCTTCCTAGGAGGAAGCCAGCAATTCCCCTCTTTTCCCTGCCTAGCCGGGAAGGGTTTATTCCCACTGCAACAGCTCATTAACTGCAGCTGAGCAGTGGGTTGGAGACGGTCCAAAAAACCCTGGCTTGGATCTATGTCTCCCCAGAAAACCACTAAACTGTGGAGTGGAGCATTGGCCCACCCTTCTCTCCAAATGCTCCACCCCAGGGGCCCATAACTAAACAAAGCTTTGTGTTGTGCAACACACAAACTACACGTACTTCCCCTGGGGTTAAAAGGCCTATCTGCTTTCACTTTATCACAGTATGTAAATTCAAATAGTGATCAGCACTCTCGGATTTTCAAGAATTAAAAACAACAATTTATTGAGTATCCATTAAAAGATCAACGTTTCAGTCCCAGCAGGGACTTTCATCAGGATCAGTGAGTGCAAGGACTTTTCTATTTCTATTTTTGTGTATGTATGTATGTATGTGTCTTTATGTCCTCATGCATGTGTGTCTGTATGTATGTTAGTATGTGTCTTTATGTCTTCATGCATGTGTGTCTGTATGTATGTTAGTATGTGTCTGTATGTCCTCATGCATGTGTGTCTGTATGTATGTTAGTATGTGTCTGTCTGTCACTATGTATGCCTGTGTGTATGTCTCAGTATGCGTGTATGTCTGTTTCAGTATGTGTGTCTGTTAGTATGTATCTGTGTCCTTTTGTATCAGTGTGTGTGTTTGTGTCTGTGTGTGTATTCCTGTGGGCGGTATTTGGAGGCGGACCCAATGGGCGGTATTTGGAGGCGGGCCCCAGACCCTGAGTTCAGTTAGGGGCCCCAAAATTTCTGGTGGCGGCCCTGGGTGTACAAAAACCCAATGTAATGTTTGTGTGTATTAGATGCAGAGTGGGCAGTGGATGCAGACCTTGTAGTGAAGGTAGAATATGTAAATGTTGTGTAAGATAGGGTCTGCATTCTGTGGGAATGGCAACCAGTGGCAACACTCTGTCAGTCGCAGGACTTGCAATAGTTAGAGAAAGAGGATCAGTTGGAAAGTGAAAATCAAGTGTGCTGGGCCCCCTCTGCAGTATATAGGCAACCGGTGCACATATATTGCGATAATCGCTATATTATATGGGCACATATGGGATGGTAGCTTTGGGTATTAAAGCCAGGTAGTACAGTCCTGTTGCACATACACAGAGGGCTTGGAGGCGTGGCTTTAAGCCATGCTTCCAAGCTTTCTAATTACTAAAACATTTAGATAGGGGCTTCTAGGCATGGGGGAATAACTGTTGATGAAGTTGTAATAGTGGGTACAGCGTTCCGTTACATACAACAAAACTGTTTCAGTAATTTTTGTTTGAACGGTATAAAGAACGCTCATTTTCCTAACTACCCCAATTTAAATTTTCTAAAAGAAGCAAGCATGTTTAAATGTTTACGATTTCCTTCTTTCTTTCACCTATTTAATTTATTGTATAGAAATAACAGCTATTCATAAAATATATCCGATTTAGGGAAATGCACATAGAAATGTCCATGTTATTGAAAGAAGAAATACTCATAATGTCTAACATCTTAACAGATTCTACTATTAGTACATCGCAGGATATTATGTGTATGCAAAATGGTTAGATGTTCTCCCAGTACCACTGACCAGACCATGCAGAGACGCTAGAACGTTACCTAAGAAATGGTCGTGTTGTAGCAGCAACAAATGTTGGAAAGAAAGCTTAGCGGACAAATGCATCTGCTAAAGAAACTGAGGACCACATTTACCATGTGATCTTTCTAAAGTTGATAAAATAAGTACAAAATTCTCTATGTGTTCCGAATAAAATGCAAGGCATTTATCATGTTTCTGCCATTGCATTGTTTTTATAAAGGAATAATGGAATATGCTTTATTGAACCATCGTATAAGATTGGTGGTCAACAATTTTATTTTAGGAATCTAAAATAAAGCTTGATGATGTCTGATGTAACAAAACTGGATTTAAGTCAACTGCATTACTGAGTTTATTTGGTAATTTATTGACAAGAGTTAAGATACTATAGATCTATATGATATGCCTTTCTGATAAAAAAAATTTTTTTATTATAGCACAATAACAAACATACAAGTCAGAACCCTCCACGCAATAAATATCTAACCATGTCTGATTTCTTAGGACACCTTAGGAGGAAGATTTGATGCCACACAGGCCTTTGTTGGCGAAATTTCGGACTTTAACATGTGGAGTTACATCCTGACCCCTGGTGAGGTCTTCAAGTTGGCCACCTGTGCCTCTCATTCCACTGGTGATGTCATAGAATGGGCAGAGTCTACCATGGAGCTCCATGGGGGCGTGACCAAACTCCCGTTTAACTCTTGCCATTGACATGAGGAGTCCCTTCACACGCAGCATGCTCTGATACAGAATCCAGACATGGAGTGGATTCCTGGCACCCCAATGACTATTGCTTCAGTTGGAGTAGAAGTATTCTCTCTGTCGCCATATTTCCTACCCATGTTTAGTTTTCTACCCTTTGTAACTGCTTATATAACCTAACAGCATTTCTTGTTTGTAGCGTATTCATTTTACAACCTAATTTCTAGTTTATAGTGAACTGCTAGTGGACTTATATCAACGATTATTGTCTTTCTCAAATGAATGTGAAGGAAAAAAAAAACACAAAAGCCCAATGTAAGATGCTGTTGTAAAACAAAGTTATGACTGAAGATAACATCCCATTTTCAGTCAGGGCATTTTATATCCTATATATCTGGAAGAATGCACAGGACATGACTATCAATTTGTAAGTTTAAAAAAAAAGAGTTGGAATATTAATTGTAGTGTTTGATAAGTAAAAATAACTGAATTTAGATTATTTATAATTGATTAGATATCACATATTAACAGAGATCCACCAAGTTTTTGCTGTCTGCCAGCATTGAAGTATGGCCAACAACTAGCGGAATTTCTAAATATATATATATATATATATATATATATATATATACATATATATATATATATATATATATATATACATATTTGTGGCCGGGAACATAAGCTGTGGCATAGTGCAAAGTGGGTTGTGGTGTGCCGAAGCAGACATATGGGTAGGCCTGTAAATAGAGAGGGCCCACCAGGATAGTGATATGATAAAGAGGGGACTGGTGGGTTGGGCCATCGGAGCTACTTTGCTTTGTTCAGGATGTACAGAAGCTTAAGCTAAGCTCCTCAGATGGTGAACTCATATTATATTCACTTGAGTGATGCCATAGCAACTGTTGTGGCCAATAAGAATTAGAAGCTCTTGAATTCCATTTTTTTTTCCCAAATGGAAGACTATCTTCCTTGGACAGCTCCTTTCAGAATAGGAAGCCTAAAGGGACACTGTAGGCACTATAACCATCTCATTAAAACACTTGGAGACCCTTGGTACGGTCTCTCCAGTCAGCGTTAAACCATATAAGAGCGTCTTAACATCAAATAAGGGTTCCTGGCCATCCACAGCCAGGCTCATACTGGAGCTATAGCCAAGACAGAAATGACACACTACCTTCTAACTTTGCCAATTCAAATAAGAAATGGGCAGTGATAGGCTGAAAGTGGTCTGCTGATGCTCCAAGCAAGTCACATCAGTCTATTGTTGCCCAGACTTCTCAATAAACTAAGCAGCACAGAGGGGATGGGCTGCTGTGGACTCTCATTTAGTAGTAAAACATTTGAATCGGTTTAACGCTGAACGGTAGGACGGCACCAGGGGGTTCCAGCCATTATAACTACTTCAATGCAATGAAGCCGTTATAATGACTACAGTGTCTCTTTAATTTTACACACTGAAGCCAAACCACCTGAAGAAATATCAAATAACAGAAGTTATCTTGGCTGAGACCCTAATTAGTCATGTGGGGAAAAATAAAATGAGTACAGAAAGGAAAAAAAAAAAAGTTAATATTTGCTGTTCATATCTGCTTTGGGTGTTTTGTTGTTTTTTTTTTCCTTCTTTACTTTTTGGTCGACTATATTAATAAGTGTGTATAGAGTCATAGTTGTTCAATTCAATGTGTATTACAGTGTGCAAACTTTTAGTTACAGTGTTCTTAACCTGGGGATTAAAAAGAGCATTTTTAATATGTTTTACATTACTCAAGGGTCAGTTATACAAAGACTGGAAACCAAATACCATCATCTGCTGCAACGTGGAGGCTAAATCCATGTGTTAATATAAATATATATATTTGTGTGCTTAACAAGTATACCATTGCATGAATGTCTGTGCGCATTTTGTTCAACATATCATTTAGTTACCTGTATGCTGTTTATAACATAAATGTACCGATAACTCACTGTTTTCCCCTTATTAATATTGCTTTTTATATCCCTGTGTGATTTTTTTTTGAGGAAATAAAATAAGGAATATTTATTTTATTTTAGGTTGGCAAAAATTCACTGTTATATATTTTTATGGGGGTGATGGGGTAGTGAAAAAAAGTTTTTTAAAAAATTCAGACCAGCAATAGGTGGCTATGATAGGCTGAGAGTGCTAAGATGGCCCTCTTAGCCAATCACCACTACCTATAGCTGCTCTGGCTTATGCTTCCCCGTCATCACTGATCACCAGAGGGGACAGACTGACAGACTCTTGTTTACCATTAAATTATTCAAAAATGTTTGAAGGCTGAATGGAAGAACAGCTCCATGCAATTCCAGACACTAAAACCACTTCAATTAAATGAAGTTAAAGGTGCCTGGAGCCTCCCTTTATCAACTAAAATAAAATGTGTAAGTCTTCGCTCCTCTGCAAAGTGACAACTCTTTCAAAAGTAATTTAGGAAAACGTACAAAGTGGTTCTCACAGTCAGTGGACATTAATAATGGCAATGAGCCAAGATGCCTGTATGAAACTGCCAACATTGTACTCCACATGTGGGAGGAAAATAACCAAATTTGTACAAAGAAACTGGGTAACGCTACATTAAATTCAGATCCGATTCATTTATTATTTTCCCTTTCTTTTTCATTAAATTAGGAATTGCAAAGACTTGACAAGGGAATGCAGGAGACCACTCCCTCTCCCCTACTACTTTAGCCCATACCACAATTGGGAATTACTATTGTAATTCTGCATAATTCTTATGTTTAATAAACACCACATAAAAAGGTACATGCAGAGATGGGAACCGCAAGTCCTTGAGAAGTAGAATTCCAGGGATTATGCAAACATACCCTACACAGGCAGTTAAAATAGCATTTCACAGTACTTGCAATTTACTAACCAAATGTAATCCTGTTTCTCTAAATTCCTTTGTTTATATGCAAATTAAACTTTGTGCAAAGCAGAACTAGATTAGTAAGAAAGCCAACCATTAAGAGCCACTCTATTGTGCATTAATTATTAAAGATCTATTATCTATTGAACATAATCCATAAAAAAACCACCTCACATATAAGGTTGAAAGGGCTCATGGGTCCACCTCGGTTATAATCCAACAGGCAGCTGATAATTTGCAGGAAATCTTGTTCCTTTACTTTCTTTGGAAGAACTACTGAGCATTTTCATTAGCATTTTTTTTATATGTCCCATACAAAAGAAATAACTATCACTTGTGTGTACTTCACTATATTTTCTACCCATTCTCTAAACACTTCCTGTTGGAGTTAAGTGGAGAGGATTTATCAAAGAGTGCTGTACTCAAAGAGGTACAAAAAAATATGCACAGAAACATGTCCACACATTTTGCAGCTTCCCATTCATTAATAAAAGAAACCAAATTAACAGCCTCTTAAAGGGTCTAAATTACAATTAAAGTGTTTAGAAATCAGTCCCCTAGCCACTCCCTCTTTTTCTAATTATTTTCATTATCTATGTAGCGCCAGCAAATTCCGTAGCGCTGTACAATTGAAATGTAGGTAGGTATATTGCACGCACACCACATTTTCATTCATGTATTGCCAATGAATGTGATGGTGGAAGCAGCTACATTGACTTTTGTTAGATGTGCAGTGAAGGAACTTGTGTTTTTGGTTTTTAAATTTGTTTTCCATTTAAATAACGCCAACTAATCCCACACATTTTGTTCAGTACATTTTAAACTGATGTGACCAAAGGCAGAGTAGCTTAAAAGATTAACTCAAAACAAAAGTTAAAAAAAATTAACAGTCACATTTTAGAACCACTATGATTTGGTGAAAAAAACCCAAAAAAAACAGTAATGTGAGACTGACAATCTAAACATTTTTTTTTAATGGGACAGTGTAGTCAGCTTATTGTAGATGTTCTGGTGAGTATAATCAACCCTGCAGGCTTTTTTGCAGTAAACACTGTCTTTTCAGAGAAAGGGCAGTGTTTACATTACAGCCTAGGGACACCTCCAGTGGGGGCCACTCAGATGCTCTGCATGGAGATGCTGAACTTTACCCATAGAGATGCATTAATTCAATGCATCTCTATGAGGATATGCTATTGGCCAGGGTGGTGGTTGGCCCCGCCCCCCACCTCCTGACAGAGAACATCAGAATTCCTATGGGAAATCATTGTGATTTGCTGATATAATCAATTCTGATTATGTCAGCCAAGGAGGCAGATCAGGGACAGAGCCAGGGCGGCACTGAAAATACAGTGAGTTTTTACTATATTTAATGGGGCAAGGGAGGGCTAAATAGTGTTTTTTTTATTCTTTATTTTTGTTGTGCAGTGATAAACAAGCAAATTTAGAATGACACGTCTGCAAGATCATAAAATGTACAAGCACATGTTCTGAACATGTTCAGAGTGTTGAATTATTTTTTTTTACAAGAAAAGAAAGCAAGATGTACATAAACATTCACCGCCTCTGAATTCAATATAACAGGAGTGCTCAGTGACACACAGAACATACCACAGGGGAAGGGGAGTGCAGGCCCTTTAAGATTTGCAGAAGAGCCAGGCTAGTCCCAAAGGGGGAGATCAGCCACTTCTCCCATCGAGGCAACATACCATGCTGCAATAATATGGGTATCGCAGTGTCACGATTGTTACCGTGAGACGACTGGGACCTCTCTCAGAGGGTGTCCAATAGGCATCAGATGCGGGTGCCGGTGGTTGATTAGTTAACCCCTAAATAACTTGAGTAGAAATTGGTCAGCAGCCCAAGCTGCATGGCGGCCAAGCCCTGCATCCCCTAAATAGTGTTTTTAACACTATATGGTCAGGAATATACGTTTGAATCCCTGACCCTATAGTGTTCCTTTTATCTTGCTCCAGCACCGAAAAGGTTCATGAATTATAATTTGCATAACGGTAAAACTTTAAAAAGAACATGAACTGCTTACTTATTTGCATTAAAATAACTGTAAGCAAAAGTTAGGGATTTTATAACTTCTAATTGTGCAATCTGGATCCTCATTTGTTTGTCAATTATCCCCATTATCAAATCAGAACATTTTAGATTGAGTTTGTTTCATTACTTGTGTCTGCAGTTCCCCCTCTGCAATAACATACTTAAGTTTTGTTTGAGTTCACCCAATCCATTTATTTATATAATGGCTTGGTTGAAGTATTACTTTTTTGGTTTGCTTTGCTATACATTTATAAATCAATCTCTATTTGTGCTTCCTATTATCATTCTTATTGTACAATGTCCCAGTTATTATACGTTTGCTAATCACACAAATAGTAGGTACTGTTACTTAGGAATGGTTATAAGCAACATATTTTTTGACTATGTAACATTTATGTATTACAATTTGCACTGTGTCATTTTACTGATACTTTCTATTGAGCTGGGGGGTGGGGAAGAGAAGCAAAAAATAAAAACACATCCAAGACAGCGAAATGCTGTATTATATCTGGATAAATAAATAAAAATAGAAGAAAAGCAGCTTCGGTAGTAAGAGGCTTGTTACAAGCAAGGCTGCTAGCTGGGGAGGCAACAGCTAAAACCAACAAATGGGCATATTACCAAGCATTATTCTTTATACTATGTACACCACTTTTTAATGCAACTTAGAGGTGCTGGCAGAGAGCCCGACACCACCAGTAAGTTTAAGGAAATCCTGTGGAACAAAGCTTGAGCGAATGTATAGATAGCAAAAGGGTACAGGAGACTAGTGCTCTCCTGTCTGCCCAGGCTTCTATTTTGTACAATACCATGCGTAACAAGTAAGGAAAGCATATGCCGTGTGTGACGGATTAGAAGTGATGGAGAATTCTATTTTTGAAGAGTGGCTTTAATTCATTATGAATTAAAAACGGTTTGGTGATAACCTAGGAAGGAGCTTTGAAACATAGATGCTTGCATTAAAACATTAAAAATGCTTATTTTCATGACACACTAATGAAGAAATTAAAGAAATCAAGAAAGCGCAACTAGATACTAAAGGTACATTTTAAGGACATTTTGACAGTTTCAAAGGGGAAATCCGAAACGTTTCTTTGTCTTATTTTGAATTTTGGGTACTGCAGTAACCTCTACTCTATGTGGCCACATTAGTGACATACATCTTTTTGCGAGTTTTTTTTTTTTTTTAATCTCCTTTTTAAAATAAACAGATCAAACCAAATTGTAAGTATTTAGAATGATTTTTATTATATACTTGGCAGTCACAGATTGTGGGAGTGCAATAAAAGGATATGTTACACAATTTCTCGGAGGTAAATAGTTCCAGATCTCTGCAACATCAGCACATACTTAGATTTTGGTTTTATCTTACTGTGAAAACAAAAGCCTTTGCTAATCATATCCTTAGCTGGAGGATCAGTACTGATGTCATCTTCGGACATAGCCAAGGTCAAGATATTAATGAACAAATGCTACGGTGTATTCAGATCAAATCCTTTTCACTTTGTTTTACTATATCATTGCTTACCATTAGAAGCAACAGGTTATGACTAAATTAAAAAACTAGAGCACGTTACCAAACCATTACAGAGAAACGCATACTACAATTATTGAAGCACCCAAACAGAGAGCATTCGGTTACATTAACTCTGCAATTTCCAAGATGTGTTTTTTAGGTTTCTAAAGTGTTAGTGATGTTGGGACGGAGGGGGGAGGAATTCACTAAACAGTGAGTTGCAGGGTCTAAATAGTTGAGCTCAAACACATTAAGTAGAACTGCAAAGAATCCTTAACTCAGCAAATTTGGAAACAAGTTCCTGCTTTGCAGTTTTAGTGTAAAATTTTCCAATTTTGTTGTCAATTCATTGTATAGCTAAGACATTTTAAAAACAAAAAGTTGTTTTTATTAAAAAAGAAACACTTGATATAAATAGAAACACAATGAAAATGGTCATTAGCTTTATGTGTGAAGAGTGTGTCCTCTTTTGTAAATTTTGCAAAATGTGCATTTTGCAATAGAAATTGGCACTTATATAAATTAACTTGGTTACATCCCCCTGGCTTTCAAGCAGACAGGTAATGTTACTTCCTGGTTTTGTTAGCTCAATGCAGCGGACCTCAAGAGGCATCAATTGCCCAGAGCACCTGACTTACAAAGACTTCTCATTGAGCTGTATTGGTAAGTCTGTGATTGGACAACAACAGAAAGTCTAGGCGGGTGTTAGAAGGGGACAGCTTGCAAAGGCATCAGACGAGAGAACTGCAGATGTTGCAAGCTCATTTAAAAATACATAATTAAATGCGTGCAAGTTTTCATTTGGTGCATAGCTACTAAAAAAATATTTTTATTTATTTTGTATTTGGGCAATGGAGAGCCCTTTAGCAGTGACAAAATGATATGCAAGCACATACAAATTTTGAATTCCCAATCATTCTCAGTTCAGTGAATAACCCTCTTAATATAAAGAGACGGTTAGGCTTTTGACTTTAAATTGTCAGTTTTTATTAAGTCAAAGTTTGCATACAATATTAAATAGAAAAAAATACAAACATTAATCCAACCCAACAATACCAATTCCTTCCTGTTTATGAGGAAGAGGCGGTACCCATCCAGAGGTGTATTCACAGTACTTCCTGTCAAAAGAAGAGAAAGGAACAGACAGGCACAGTGCGGGAGCAGGGGGGAAACAAAAAAAAATAAAAAAAAATTACCCCCTTTGGCACAAAAATTTACAAAACCCGCTAAATGTATCACATTACAAAAAAAAAAAAACTTAAATAGGATTCAAACTTTAATGCCCTTTAGCTTATCTTGGTCAAAAAGGTGTGCTTTCAATGTCTTCTAAAACAGCAAGAGATCATTAGACTGGTATAAAATGTTTGATTATCTTTTTACAGTTTGTAGTGTTTTATTGCCATTTGAACATAGCAGTACAAGGTCTGAGGACTGGTCCAATGACTGTTTACATGTTCAATTATATTTTAAACAAAATCTAGCTATTATTCAGAATCAACACCACAGTCCATTCAGATTCAATATTGCAGTGCATTTACTACTAATTGCTCTGTTATTTCAACCAACTTTCAGCAGGTTTCAATTTAGTTAGGCAGAACTGCCTAAAACATGCTTGGCATCTTTTATTTTACTTATTTTACAAAATACCACAATACTTACAAAGCAAAAAATTATGACTGTACAACAACCGGTCTAACCAGTTATTCCATTTCAAATGTGAAATAAAGAAAAAAAAGTCACAAAAACCATGATCTGTAGCCACACAAAACCCCTATCTGAAATGTTCACTTGTCAAAACCACGTATTGTCTCTTCCTGTGAGAAAATGGAAAAAACGAAGTATGTAATGTCTGCCTTAGCAACACTCCTAATAGGAGCATGGCGGTGGGTGACCAGGGACCCTTTATTTTGTGTTAAACTGCTTGAACATAGTTTTAAACTGAATGGAGGTAGGGTGGCATGAGGACTCAAGCACTATAAGCCATTTAATGAGAAAATTGTTACAGTACTGAAGAATGTCTCAAAAAACAAACAAAAAAACGACTTGTATTAAAATTGAAATGGGGGTGGGGGAGGAGGGAAGAAAATCTGTGAGCTGCTAGTTGCACAACTTTTTTTTTTTTTTTTTAAAAAACATGGCTCTTCAAAACACCATCTTGGTGTTCAATCCATTCAATTGAAAATGTATACAATGTATTGCACAAAAGTGCACCATTATACGAAGTTAAGTGCCATACGAATAACAATCCTAAGGCAATGGTTCTCAAATATAAACTAATTCAACTGTATTAGTGGTAGTGGAGCGCTTCACTAATACACAATACACTTTTATTGGATGTGGTGCACAAGAGGAAAGCCCAGAAGGAGAGTTCAAGCTGCTGGTTATTCATATATTTTTATACAATTTACACAATGGTCGCACATGTGCTGTGCTTCACTCACTTATTTGAATGGGAAATCAGGAATTGGCTTAAAAAAAAAAAAAAAAAAATCGGTCATATTTTCTGGCGGTTGCAGAATCTCTACCCTGTGTAGCATTTGTGTGTAGCAATTAAAGACTCATTTAGTGTGCCATTTTTTTCAAAAAACATGAAAAGTCGCATACGTGCATGACTTGGTGGATTGCCAAGCTTTAATTAGGAACCAAATACGGAAAATTTTACACAAATACACTGCACATGATGACACACTAAATGGCCTCTCCGTTTTAAATAAGAAACTGTACAGTAGTTTACTCCAGCCCTAGTGAACAATGAAACATTCCTTTCGCATAATTCAACCATTTCCATTTTACACTCTCCACAGAACGGTTTGCATTTATCTTTAGATAATTTATTTATGTTTTTTTAAGTAGCAATCTTGTGCAGTGCATTGGTCACATCTTCAGCACACAAAACATTAAGGACAGAAATAAAAGGATCAATATTTTAAAACACTGCAGTAAATACCCTATCTCAAGAGTGCACAGTATTTCACCATTCCAAGTGGGATAACGGGAAAGTCTGTGCTTTTATATATGTCCATTAGGACAGTAAAGATATTTATGAAAGTGTTATAATCTAAAAAGTGGTGCAACAAACTAAGGTTCAGTCACCAAGGATACCAATAGAATCAGCAGATCTATTCCTTTGGTACTGCTTTAGTTTAAAATTTTTGTTTAATCTCCCAATATTTATACAACAGCTTTGTTAGCCATTCTATGTGTGTGGACTCCAAAAAAACAAATATAAAAACCAAAAAAACATTTACTTGCTTACTAGTGATGCTTAAAACAAACTTCCAGCTGAGTGTGTTTCTGCATTTTATTGTAAAGAACAATCCACTAAAATTGCCTAGATGCCTGATGCGAGAAAAGGAGACAAAAACCTATCCATCTCCTGCTTTTCCTCTCTTAGCACATACAACCAGGTGGTTGGCAGTGTTAAGGCAGAAGACAAACCTGACCATCAGGGGTATATGGAAGATCTTGCGAGAAGGAACCATCCTTCATAGGTATAGTTCTTTTCTAAGACACACAAAAGAGATGCCATAAGCATGTATCTTGCATTGAAAAAGAAGATGCCCCCTCCTCCTCTTCAGCCCTCATTTGAGACAGCTGATGGGAAAAGGCAAGACAACGCAGATGGAAAGATTCTGAATTTGCCATATTTAAAAGGCATGTAGATTTTTTGAATGCATTTGTAATTTCACTTTAAATTCTTAAGCAATATGCAGTTAGCCTTTTATAAAGATCTTATCTTTATGGAAAACCCAAATGTGACAGGCTTGCTTTAGACACATGGAGTTCAAGTATAAGGGACAGTCTTAAAGCACAGTTTTAGAACCTCTTATCTGCTAGTTTGTTCTAAGTATGATATCTGTTCAATGGTTCTATATCATTCTGGTGTCCAGCAAAGTGTCATTATAGTGTGACCAGTGTGAAACTATAACTTTCCAATCTTTTGTGCCATGAATTTGTGAGTGCTGCTGGTCATATTGCTTTTTCATGCAGTTACGTCATAACGTTTGCTTGTCTGTAAGGCTGAAAATATATTAAAAAAGATTTTTTCGAGCAAAAACAAAACAAAACAAAAAACCCTAATTTTAGTCCATTATTAGAAAATCTACAAACTGGCTCATTTGCATTGGCATCTGTAGCAAACATCTTCATAGAAAAGTTTTGAAATGATACAAGACCAGACACACTCCAGCTGCAAGTTCAAAGTCTTTTGAACCAGTCCTGCCCCCCCTCCCCAATAACAGACAACCAGTATAAAGTTGCAAGCTTCACCTTGCAAAGGAGTGTTTGGAAGAGACTGCAGGCCAGAAGATGGCAGTATTGCCAAAACAACATTGTGTGTTTGTCCTTTTTAAGACTGTTCCTGCTGCTGCTGTTGCATTTGCTGCTTTTTCTTGACCGAGATCCTTTTCTTCCGAGCGGCCAGCATCTCATAGAATGGGTCCACACTTACAGCTGCCCTAAATAAGATACACTTACATTACCAAGCAGATATAATACATGCCTAGATATAGCAGAATTAATGAGCACAGGGAAAACTAAAATATGTAGAACCTGTTGCTGGGTGTCAGTCTTCAGCATTGCAATTTATAATCAGATTTATTTAGAATCAAAACAAATGTTTTGATTGGCTGTTTAATTGAAAACAATCAGACAGATCTGCACCACTGTGTAGAACAAAATAGTGACAGTGCTTTGCAGTAAAAAAATAAAAATAAAGGCTTTTTTTTTTTATTCTGTTTGCAGATATTTCCGCTCAGTAGTTTAGCGGATAGGTCTATAGTTGCTGCAGCATACAATGCCACTCCCTTCACTAAACGGATACTCTCAGCACCAAGACAACTTTAGCTGAATTAATCTGTTTAAGGAAACCTACACTAAAACTGCTCCATTACGTTGAAGTGTATAGATCTTACTGCAGTCTCACTGCTTAATCCCTGTTATTTAGGTATAAAACCACTGGGTTCTGTTCAGCTGTGACTCACAAACAAGAAAAGTGTGTTTACTTTATACATTTTTATTTCCTGCTCTGTCAATTGAACTTTACAGCGTTATTTTCTAAAGTGAGAATTCAAAGAGAATTTCAAATGTAAAGCTGACTTATCCTTATGACTGAGGATTTTTTCAGTTCAGCTATTCTGATCTTAAATTCTAAATTTACTTTGAATTCTCCATTCAGTGAATACACCAATCACACACAGGAGGCTCCTGTAAGCTCTAGTAGGGGATAAGCACAGAAAATCGAAACAAACTGTGCCATAGTGGAGGTTTAAACATTAGATTTCTCTTAACAGAAAATGTGTAGAGAGGCTGTAGGACATGCATGGGAGGTGAGACCAAGTCTGTACAAACAAAGTGACTTAAATGGACATGCTTCACTCAGACAATTGTCTCATTCAAAAGCTTTAGCTTTTAATGGGACAGTTGCCTCACTCTGCAGGCTGAAAAAAAAAAAGCAGGTAAATATGATTTTTTTTTCATATTTACCTGCTTCTACTTTCTTTTGCTTTTCACAACCACTACGGGGGGACACTAATCTAACCAATCCGTGTTCTATCCCTTGGAATGATGGAAAAGTGCATTGGGCATGCCTGCCAGCTTTACACAGCAGTTGGAAGACCTCTTCATCTTACAACATCCTGACAGAGGGCGAAGAGAGGATGTTTGATCAATGTGATTAATGCAGAGCAGGCTCCGGTGTCGGATTTCTCTCTCCTGTTGCTGCACAATGATGGCTTGTGTCTGTCAACTATTAACTGGTCTGAAATAGAGTTGGGAGGGTGAGGGGGGTTTGAAGAACTTCCCTTTCTACCTACGTTAGGGGCGTTTCCAACAATGCAATCTGACCAAGTTTATACATTTTTACTACAACTGCAAACTTACTTTGCAAAGTCTCTTTATGTTACATAGGCTGAAAAGACGTGTTGATAAAGTTCAGTCTCACATCTGTTTCTGCTATTGAAGGAGGAAAAATCCCAGTTTGAAGCACTTCTAATTTTGCAAAACTTGACCCCAGAATGGCAGTCAGATTTATCCTTGGATCAAGAAGCTATTACTCCACTAATTAAAATTATATCCCTGAATATTATGTATTTGCAAGAGTGCATCCAGTTACTCTAAACATCTGCACAGACTCTGATAAAACCACTTATTTAGGCAGACAATTCTACATCCTTATTGTTCTTACTGTCAACTATAAAAAAAAAACAAAAAAAAAAAACAACACACCTTTAATTTGCCTTAGACTACATCTCCTCTCTTCCAGTCTAAGTGCATGACCTTGTGTCCTATTATGAGTAGATTTCCAGACAATGGTTTGTATTGGCCCCCGATTATATTTGTCGAATGCCATTATATCCCATCTGAGGTGCTGTTTTTCTACACTAAAGAGTTTTAAATTTGTTAACCTTTCTTCATAACAAAAATGCCTCATTCCTTTTATTAAATTTTGTAGCCTGCCTCTGTAGTTTTTCTATTGCCATAATATACTTCTTTAAAACAGGTGCCCAAAATTGCACAGCATATTCAAGGTGTGGTCTAAGCAGTGATTTATAAAGAGGCAAAACTATATTTTCACCACTTTTTATACATGTTACCTTACTGGCTTTAGCCACTGCTGATTGACACATCGTAGCTTAGTTTGTGGTCTTCTATAACATTTCCCAAATCCTTCTGGTGTGTTATCCCTAATTCACTACCATTTAGGGGGAAAGTTGCTTGGGCATTCTTTACCCCTAAGTGCATTACTTAGTATTTTTCTACATTAATATTTTGGAAAAAAAATTTAAATTGTTTGCTTATTGGTTTAAAATATAATGGTCGAGTGATGAATGTCCCTTTAACACCTAAAAGGCAGACATTAAATCAGTTAGACTGCATGGTCATGATCTATGCACCAAAACATCTCCATCAAGCAAGAGCTGTTATGGTTCTTATAGTATCCCTTTAATGAATGGCATGGATGCTACCTGTATTATATCAGGAAAATACAGAGATGTACAAACATAGAAAGATTCTCCTTACTTTATAGACTTGATCCACTCATCTTTTTCTTCTTGCGTTGGTGCCGAAATTCTATACACATTATGGTTGCCTTCCACCACTCTGCCATCTGCTTCTGTCTTGCAAGCTTTTATCAACTGCCCTTTGTTATTTGGAATGTAAAGCTCAAAGCAGTTCTGTGGCAAGAGAAGAATTAAAGAGGGCAGTTGAACAGTCCTATTTATCTTTAAGTCTAATCACAGAAAACTTTAAAACCAACAAACAGTAAATGTCCTTATTTTGGCACAGAGACTGAAGAGGAAAATTACACTAAACTACCAAACATTGACCAGGCTAAGACTATTCATTGCCTTTTTAGTATAAGAGAAGGTCAGCAATCAGGTAGACCATGTGTAGTCATAGAATCCCAGGATGTTTGCGTCTTCTACTACCCATCAGATATACACTGTTCAAGATTTTTTCAGAATTTATGCCCACTTAAATAAATGTTAATGTGACAGTATTTGCAAATTATGTGCATAAATTCTGAATAAAACACCATTAAAAGGGGCTCACCGGGCAGCATAAGAGCTTCATCAGAATGTTTCTCACTCGGTTTTGTGAATGTAGAGCTGATGAGTACCAGTAGCATCATTGATACCCTTGTTCAAGGCTTCCTGATTTAAGCCTCAGACTGTGGTGGATGTTTGTGGGGAGAGCTTTCAAGCGCCAGACCATGGCGTTAAACCATTCCATTTGTTAATGTTTTAACCCCTTGAGGTAGGCTGGTGCCCGTGGACCTCCTCGCACAATAACCTAATTCTGAATGAATTTGTAATGCATTCAAAATTGTTCTTTTAATAATAATAATACAGATAAAATCTAAAGAGAGGACAGTTTTAATAATGGTACGTTCAATGAGGACACAAATGTTAACAGTGAAAATTCTTACTGGTTTCCTTGGATCCTCAACTTCCCGAATACTAAGATTCTCCAATGGAATGATACCACGTGGCTCCTTATCCTGTAAAGAAACAAATATTTAGAAGGAAAACAAGAAGAACACAGCAGTTCCGTGCTACACTTGTCTACATGTGGAACTCACCGTAGTATATTCAAAGTAATACAAACAGTTATCAGTTAGAATAAACCAACGTCTCTTCCACGTTTTCACTCTACCACCTGCAAGACATTCAGAATTTACACAAACATCTACACAAGCAATAGTAATATGACAAAGCATTCATTACATCTACAGGAGAACAAAAAGTTATACAAGTACAAAATCTAAGCCATAGGAAGATCATAGTGACAGCATTAAATATATATGGAATTAAAATGGTTATTTGGTGAATTTCATGATAACAATATGAGGATTAAACACCATCATAGTTACTAACAGTGAAAGTAGCTCACTGTGCAAGCAAATAAGTAAGGAAGACCTGTAAAAATCCATAGGCTGCAATAGAAAAAACAAAAAACATTCATACGTCCGTTTTAGTTTTTTAGTGTGTCCTGGGAGAGTTTTTTAAATCAGGTGTGGTTTTTACATTTTCTGGGTGAATGCAGATGTACAGATATTAATGAATCCTATATGGGATGACTGCTACCGTACATACTGCTTGCTCAGTGGGAATTTAGGCCCAACACCACAAACTAGGTGTGACGGAAATAAAATGTTAGGTGCACTGTGGGGTCCGCATTAAAGGCCCTTTTTACTTGGGCTAAATGTTTACACATTTTCTTTTTTAAGCAGAACTATCGTGGAGTTCCATGGAAGGGAGTAGATATACTTATCGGATGGGAAATGGCTAGATAAGGTGGCAGATGTTCCACCCATTGCTATATTTGCCAAATAAGTGATTTGCTCATGCTTTGTCTAAGGATATCGTTTCACTGCATTGAAATTTAATGTGAAATTGCACTGCAAATGCAAAGTTGTGGGTTTTTTTCTTCATAAAATCTTAATCACAAATTTATTTTTTCAACAGAACCCAGGAGTGCACTTCTATTCCAGAGGTCTAATTACTAAACTTAGACATAGATTGCTATTAATATTAGTTATGAAAAAAAACAAGACTCCATGACTGCTTGAACCATAATTAAGGAACATTATCCAATGACTTTGTAGATTGCTCTGAAATAAATCTATGGCTGAATCTGATACTCTCATCGTTCAGAAATTTGATGGTACATATTGAATTTTTGTAACAACATTTTTAATTCTCCAGTATAGGACCTATCTTTAACCCCCTCCCCTAAAAATTGAAGAATAATCGTTTCAAAAAAAAGAAAAAAAAGAAAAAGAAAAAGAATTAACCAAATTAACAGGATTCATGAATAAATTAAAATTAAGAACAAAACATTTGCCCAAATCTTAAAGTTTTGTTTAAAATAAACCTTAACTTTAAGAAAAGCAAAAATATGTGAATTGATTATAAATACAAACACATAATTAATCCTAGCGCTCAGACTCCCACTACTCTTGGCCGTTCAGGATTCAAGCAAATGCAAACACACAACATTTTGGATTACACAGCCACATTAAAGCCATTTTTGCTGAAAGCAACAAGATGAATTGTTAGTGTAAGACTCATTGAAGAGGTTTGGCCTTGATGTGGCAGGCGAGTTTACACTTAAATAACCATTGGAGTGATACTAAAAATCCTCCAGTTATTTAAAAGTACATAGCGATATTGGATAGTGCTCAGGTAAACTTATTTTCTTTCTATGTAAATCAATTTGCAAACTGAAGACATGAAACCACATTTCAATGGAATATTATAGGTGAAGCTATACAGTGGGCTGAGTGTAACATTTAGCTCTACCTACCTCCTGGGTAGTTATTGTGAGCAGACGGAAGAGCAAATGTCATCAGCCGCGTAGCACATAGGGCAGGAAAAGCAGAGAAAGGGAAAAGGGCAAAAAGGGGAGGGGGGAAAAAGTAAAAAGAGATGTGCAAAACATAGGGAGTGGAGCAGGAAGGTGGGCAAGGAGAGAGAGAAAAGGAAAAATAAGTTACATAAACAAAAGGCGGAAGACTAGGTTCATACACATCCTCTAGGCACAAAGTGTTTTAGTGCATTAAATATTAAAGGGTGTCAAGCAAGAACAAAATATTTCTAAGACACAGATTTAACTGGATTGCAGTTTTCTGGGGAGATGTGTTGGAAAAGGATTTGTACTCTATAAAAATTCAGCTCTTATCAGAGCAGATATCCTACTTAAAAATTAGCCAATGTTTTCGTTTTCTTTTCATGTTCGTCATTGTAAATACACATTTCCCCATTTAAAATTCCTTGCAAAGGAGAGGCAGAGTATTAAATAGAATACAAGTAAATCTAATAATCCTCATACTGAGAATGGCACACAAGCTACCCTGCAGAAAGATATAAATAAAACAAAGGATTATAGATTCATTGTGCATTCTTCATTTCAGTTTTCATTAAAACATTCAGTTGAGTTTTTTGCAGGACTTTTTTGCTCTGGTTTCATATAGGTATGGTATGCATACTATATGAGAGGACAGTTCTTTCACATAAATTGATAGCATGGACCTTTGTGCAGTTACTTGGATTACTGATTTTTGTACAATAAGTAAATTAAATTTGGCTGCAAACTGAACGCCCACGTTGTAACACTGGCTCTGGGTTTCGATAACTTTATTTCAACTGATGGAAAACAAACTATTCATTTAATTCTAAAATGTTTTAGCTTTTTTGCCGATTTATATATGGAGAATGAGGTCTCAAGACACTGATAGTCTTTCAAATGATATTTTGATGATTAATGGAATATGAAGTATGGAAAGGTGTCCCCCCCCCTCCTTAGCGTGTGCAATCTGGAGGGAATTCTAGAAATCGTCAGCATATTTTAATAGAGAGCAAAGTGTACACATTTCTAGCTTGTAAAGGTCACACTGCATATAACAAAGTGGCTCCAGAGGGATGTGGTGGGATGGCGAATAGAGGAGCAGAAAGACGTAGAAGAATAAAAGGCTTGAGACTTGGAATGAATAATTAAAAATTAAGTTCTCACCCAATTTTAGGAGCCAGCCTTCCCTGTCAGGGTTAAAGAATGTATGAGTCAGGTCATTCCCATCATCCTCTGGGATCTTAAATGGTTCATTTCTGATGCTGTCGTACAAGTTCTGCAACAACAAAAAATAAAAGCTTTATCCAGAAGACTATGAGAATCATTTTCTGCACTTCACGCCCTTACATATTTATTAATGCATAGCAAGTAAACCAACAGACAATACATTGTAGACAGAAACGGTATTCTATGTAGATAAGCATTTGGGTTTTTTCCACTAAGTTGCAGAAATGACTATGGAATTCTAGGTTTCTAATATTTGCCTACTTAGGCTTGTAATTGGAAATTTTACAGAGTTTGCAGGTTAAAGAGTAACCCTAATTATTTAAATGTAATTGATATATATACAGTGACAATTTTATATCTGTCAGCAAATCAGGAAGAACAATGCATCTCTGAGATGTCTTAGTTATGAAGTAATTAAGCAAGTGGTGACCAAAGCTGGATGTGAAAAAATTACCCAATGTATTACTCATTGCTTTGCTTGTGCGATGTTGTTAAGACATAAAATAACCACCCCAGCTAGACCGGTAAGGCCATTGGATCATATACACATCTGTATAATCTGCTATTAATAATACACAAGTGAAAAGAAAGGCATATATTATTACAAACAGCATGGAGCAACCACACCCCGTCATAAATACAGACTTTCAGTTTCACTAACCCTGAGCAGCTCCTCAGGAAGATCTCCTCCATCATTGATGCCCCTGTTCATGGAGATGAATCTCTCAACACTAGGCTTATCTCGAACATTGGGATTGTGTAGACTAGTGTTCAGCATGATAACAGCAAACGACAGAACATAGCATGTGTCTGCAAACACAACAGAAAATAAGCGATACGTTAAAGAAATAAAAAGGCAGAGTCCTTTTAAGATAGGATATATACAAGATTACTTAACAATTAGTAGCTGTTGGTGTACTCTCGCGAGATTCTCCGTGGATAGCGCCAATTCCCTGCAGCCTTTAATGGTGATGGCTGGGGGATGCACTTTTTTTACGGAGTTAGCTCCGCCTAGTATGAAGGGTAAAGTGTAGGAAAACTGAGACACTATAGTCCCTACTTTGTTTCAGTAGATCCTTTCAATGGGTTGGAATATCTGAAATTCCAACACAGATTCTATCTTTATGTAATAGTCATTTTGGAGGTGGAGGGGAGGGAGGCGGAGGGGGTGACCATGCTGCGTTAAGTCAAATCCACCATATTTTTAATGGTCTAGAATAGTAAGTATTTTACTGAAAATAGGAAGCCAACATTTACTCATTCTCAACCATGCCTTTTCTTTGCAACCCTTGTTTAAAAATGCAGTAAATTCAGTAAATCCCAATTTCAGTATAATTGAACGTCACACAAACAATAAAATACACATTGTCAGGCAAAACGTGTACCTGTGGATTGAAACACGCCTGGGTTACACATGCAGTATCTTTGTGCAAATGCCTCCATCATTCGGTCAATTTTCTGTGCCTCTCCTGGCAGGCGAAAACTCCATAGGAATTGTCTAAATGTAACAAAAAGATTGGTTTGCAATAAGGCATCAGATGTCAAATTGGAATAAATTAAGCCTATGACTTGACAGATCCCATTTAAAAAAAATTCATATTCCGTAAACTCGCCGTGTTATAACATAACAATACTGCAAAAGTTCATTAAAATCATCAGCTACTAAGAAAGCTTAAATTTGGACAACTATGAAGTTAAGATAATTAACTTGATAAGAAAACACTTTAATATGTTTTGTGAACTTGTAACTTTTTTTATGCAACAAGCTAAACCATATGTTTATAAAAAACAATTATATATATATATTTAAAATTGGTTGTTTTGAAATGTCTAATAAAGACAATATGGCCATGTACAGACCACACATCGCCTCCGACTTGTTTGACGCCTTCCTGCATGATTTTCTTTCCTCTCTGTGGTTAGAAACTTACAATGACCACTTCCTCCCTTAAAATCGCCCTATTTTGTAACTCAAAGACTATAGAACAAATGTTATTTTAATATGTGACAAGCATCTATGTAAACTTACCTTAGAGCCTGCACCAAATTAAGGTCTGTAAACTCATGAAGGTCCACAAAGGCATGGAGAACTGCAAGGTTGAGATCCTCTCTTAGAAGAATTAAAAAAAAATGTAAAAAAAAAAAAAAAAAATATGAGAAAAAAAATGCATAGAAATGGTGATTGAATCATAAAAATTTAGTTAGACTTCTCCATTTATCAGAAAATATTTTTAGATATACAAAGCGACAACAGTCACACAATTTATTGGAGAGAGATCTAATGGTCTTTATAAAACAATACTTTTATAATTTTGACAGAATTCAAAACGAAACTATTTAGTTAATTCCTGCATAGTTTGACAAACCTACACTGTTAATTCATACTTTGGTAGTCAGTCCAGCACAACACCTTTATTTTTTTGTGTGATAGAAGGTAGTTAAAAGTTGTAAAGGTATAGAAAGACATCACCTTATTCTGCAAGGTTTGGATATCACATCCTTACAGTGTTCTTAGTCAGGATACCGTACAGTGGGTCTTGAAACAGTCTGTCCTTTCCATAACTCACCTCAGTCAGAGGTAAGCAGCAGAGAAGAGTACAAACGATCAAAAATAGGTGGCAAAAAACAAACCGTAAAATATTGTAGTATGGTATAGAATAATCCCATAAATGAAGAGTAATCCGTGGAGATATAAAATCCACTTTATTTGAAACAGTAATACCCAAAAGTGCAACGTGCACAATATGGATAAAATAACAATAATAAAAAGATCCCTGCAGTTTTGGTATAGCAGTCTTTTCTCTACAAGCATTTCATCTTATAGTATTTGTGCACTTTATGCTGTTTTTAGCTCATGGAGCAATATTATTGACACTTGTACTTTTGTACTTCAGCACTTGGTACTTTACTATTATTCAAGCTCCTTGTATGATTATAGCTGCTATCCTTAGGGGTTCTTGGCCAATTTGGCTGTATATTTACTTTTTATTATTGTTATTTTATCCATATTGTGCACGTTGCACTTTTGCGTATTACTGTTTCAAATAAAGTGGATTTTCTATCTCCACGGATTACTCTTCATTTATGGGATTATTCTATACCATACTACTATATGTCTTAGTGTTTGTGGCGCCCTGTAGTCTGTACTAGTGTTCAGACATTGTGTTTATTTTGTATAGGGGTTTAGAGTGACCTCAGTACAGTGGCTTGCCTACACTAGAGTTGGGACCTATTATCACCCGCCTATTTATTCCTTTGTAAAATATTGTAATTCTGCTGGAGATAACATTTCTGTATTCAGATCAGTCTTTAAATGCACAAAACTCCAATTTCTTTCACAAACCAAGATCCTAAAGATAACTTTAGTCCTTTTACATAAAATGTAGGATTACACGCTTTCTTCCTACACATTCATTGTCAGCAGAGCTTCCCAATATTAGCAACAATGTGCCCAAGTGTATCAGATCATGTAACACATTTTGTACTCAATAGACCAGCTTGTCTATCAATGCAAAGAAACTGGAGACTTCTGTGCTTTTAAAGACTGTAAATTTTAAAGGGACACTATAGTCACCTGAACAACTACAGCTGTATGTATTTGTTCAGGTGAGATCTATAGCTCCCTGCAGGCAATCTAATGCAAACACTGTATTTTCATGGAAAATACAGTGTTTACATTGATTGATAGGAATACCTCCAGTGGCCGTCACTCAGACGGCCACCAGAGGGACTTCCTATCATGTAGGGCCCTAAAAAAGGCCTTGTACACGTCAGACATATTAAGATAAGTCTGACGTGTGCAAGAGAGAGAAGGTACTGTGTGCGCGCCTTCTCTCTCTTGCCTGTCAGCAGAGGAGAGGGGGTGGGCAAAGACCGCGAGCTGAGCTGTCAGTCAGCTCGCACACACGCGGTAGTGCGCTCAGGACTTCAGCGGGCGGCATAAATGCCACCCTATGAAGTATGTGCGTCGAAGCCGCGCATGCGCACAAGGGAGCAATGATGCTTCCAAATGGAAGCGTCTAATTGCTCCCTGCTCGCGCCCGCCTATTTCGTCATTTTGACGAAATAGGGGGTGCGGCTTCACGAGGCTCCCTGTGCTGGAACCAGGTGAGTAAACTACTCTGCCTGGATAGTCCCTTTAAGTGATACAGGAGTTTTATCTCCAACAAAAATATACCAACATTTGTACCTCTGTTTTCTCTTTAGTAGATTTTAACCATTTTTAGATTTTGTGGGTATATTTACCATCAGAATGTTTTTTCCTGCAGTTACAATTGTATTAAAGTGTATTTTACATCCTGAACTTTACTAGGCGCTACAGATTAGCATTTTTTTATATGAGCAGGGAAGAGTAGGTTTGAAGTTCAATTCAGAGTTTGTGTAGGTAGACATGTGAGTAGCTTCATATGCAAGTGTGTGAGCGTGGTGATACATTGTGAAGGACAGAGCAACCAATTATGTGGGCAGACATGTTTTAGTATAATTAGGGCCGGTGCAAGGATTTCTGCTGCCTTAGACAAAGATCCATCTTGCCACCCCCTCATGTGACAGACAGACTCGCTCCCTCCCTCACAGACACTCAAGCACTGGGGTCCAGTATGGGGCAGTCTCTCACTCCTCCCGCCCGCTGTTTAGTATGCCGGGGCCGGAATGACGTCATATTCCGGCTCCCGGCATCACAGAGGGTGCGCAAGAGAGGAGTGAGACTGCAAGAACAGCCTCGTTTGCTGCCTGCATTCTCATGGGCACCTGCCATCAAGGTAAGCTGGTGCCTGTTCTGCCATACTGAAAGACAACTTAGGGGGCGGGGCACCCTGAGGTGGCCAGATGACCAACCTGTGACAGAGCTCCTCTGGGCGCCACCACCTTCGGGCGCATGGAGGAGTAGCCCGTCGCTGAGGGGGGCAGCTGTACTGCAACCCAAGACAAAGGGAGCCCACCAGGAAATATCCCAGTGGGCACCCGCCGGCAGGTGCACTGGCCCGGAGTATTAGGTCTAGTTCCTAAATTTTCCAAGGATAATAGCAAAACCCTGAGAATTACACACTCCTAAATGCCCTCATACGTAATGCACTCATTTTAGTATACAATATACATTTGAATACTATCAAGGAACCACCCCTTACCTCTCTCCTAAATAATCACCGATTGCAGTTTTATTTAGGCCTTCCCCCTTGTAAAGAAAACGTGCTATTTCTTCTGGGGTGTTACGAAGCAGGTCGTTTTCCTGTAAGTAAACTATACCCTTGAATGAGATGAGAAATGAAAAATCAGATTAGGTTCAAAACATTGGAGACATTTTATTTTTTTTATTTTTTTAAACTGCTAAAAGCAACAAAACCGTATTACTGAAATTACAGTAACTGATATACAGTGCAAGTTACTTGAAAGCAAAACATCTTTCTTATTGGTTTAAAATATATATTTTTTAATAGAAGATATAGATATTATATATATATATATATATATATATATATATATATATATAAATATAAAGAGAGATAGAGATAGAGATATATATATAAATCTCTTGCACTCACGCTGTAAATGTCCCTTGTTTGCCGGGTGCTAAGCCAGGGCTTGGTTTTCCAGATCTCCAAAGAGGTAGCAGGACTCACGGAGTTTAAAAGTCGTAATCTTTATTTGGTCATATTAAAAATCACAATTAATATGACCAAATAAAGATTAAGACTTTTAAACTCCGTGAGTGCTGCTACCTCTTTGGATAGAGAGGAACACACAGAAAAAAAAAACACACAATATTTAGGCTACTCAAAAAGTGCACTATCAAATAAAAAGAATTTTTTTTGTTAATATATGCACACATCCTACCTTTTTAGGATCCATGTTGAATTTCTTCCTTCCCATGCCAACTTTACGATTTCTCTGCAAAGTTTTACTACGAGAAAAATATGTATATCGATTAGGCTATGAACAATATGAAATTTATGTTTCTACACGTGACTTATTTTCAATATGAGTAAATCTAAACATGCAGGTATGCCAGTATGTCAAGGGTAATAAAGTTCTTAAAAGCCAAAGAATAAATAAGAATACTCTACTATAGCATAAAGTCTCCTGTTAATGGCACACTAAGCACCAAAACACTTCATCCTAATTAGGTGTTTTTTTACGCACAGACCCGGTTACTTTGTTCAGGCAGCAGTTCCAGGCAGCTTACCCTGCCATGATGTTGTTAAGAGGCTGTTACAAGGGACACTGGGGTCAGGACTGGGGATTGTGTTGTCTGCACCTTTGTGCCAGTTTGCAGATCACAGTAAGTGCTCCATCGTAGTCTGGCACTCACTAGTGAGTCAGAGTTCAACTGCCGTGACTCCTATAGTGCACTCCATTCTATGAGTGCTGGACAGTGAGGGACTGAAAACTGTGGTATTCCCTCACTCACCCGCTGCAGACCATATACGCTACCACACTAGATCACCAGATACTTTGTTCTACACTAGACCTCCATAGATCATGAGCAAAACAAAATACACACACACCACTCATTACACGCCCTTCACACAGGAACACACAAATTGCCCATCAGATGGCAGACACCACACATACCCGTTATACATGAGTGTGTGTGTGGGGAGCGAGACACTGTGTCGTGTCTAAGATTGTCATATAAGATTGGACAATAGAGACTGGGTTACTTATATATTCTATTGAACATATAGATTTTTTTGTTTTACATTTCCACAACCCTTATTTCTGATAAACAGAAATTTTTACTTCTGTGCAGAAGCACACCATCTAGTGGCTGTCAAAATCTTCCTGCTCAGGGCCTTCAATAGAAGAAGCATTTGACTGAGTGCAGCAAGTCCTGTGCATTTGCCCTTTGTCAACAATGTTTCTCAAGGTGAAGACCTGATTGGAAAAGGATTATTTTGACTGATGAAATCAACAGAGGAGGAGGAGCCTGTTGAGAACAGACTGCCATGGCACAAGAATATAAGCTGTCTTTCTCTTTTGTTAGAGGGACACTACATTACTCAAAACACAAAATAAATTAAAACCACTGTTTAGTAGATATACCTCAAATGAAAACATCCATGCATTTAATTATGCATTGTTTTCATTATAACCAGAAACAGCTTTCAAAACCTGAAGTTCTCTTGTCTGCTGCCTTTGCAAACCCTCCCCTACCAACTCCAGCCAAGACTTTCTGTGGATGTTCAATCACAGACTTTACAATGCAGCTCAATGAGAAGTCTGCTCTGGGAAATTGCTGCCTCTTGAGTTTAGCTGCACTGAGCTAAACAAACCAGGAAGTAACAGGCCCAGTTGTCTGCCTAAAAAGGAGTATATGTAACAAGGTTAATTTAGCAGTTTCTATTGCTACTGAAATCTGCACTTCATGCAAAATGATAAAAAAAAAAAAAAAGAATTGGACAATTTTCAGCAAGCTAAAGTGCTTTAGAATGTTTCATATATTAATATTATTGTTAATTTTTGCATTTGTATTTAGATTGGGATCCTCCATGAATTTCTATTTTAATATATATATATATTTTTTTTTAACAGACTGTAGAAAATTTCTAATTTCACTAACAATGCTATTTAAAATACAGCAATGTTCCTACAAAAGACAGCTAAAGCCATTCAAACAAGTGGATCTGGGATTTTGCTCCATATTTGTTTCGAGCTACCTTTAGAGACAATCTCATGACATCATGAAATAAAATAAGTAGACATGCATGAACACTGAAAATATGAAATTCTCTGGAAAATAATTTCATTATTATATTTTCCAGGAAGCAAGAGTAAATTCTTGAACTTCTAGAGTCTGGCTTTGCCACAGGTACACAATCATCATATTATTATAATAAACTAATAGATAAAGGAAAAATGTTAGGTATTCTCAACATTAAAGAATTAAAAAAATGTAAATATATTACATCCCATGACCCCCATTAATGTAGACCAGCAGCTCCCAAACTGTCTGCCAGGGCGCTGGGACTAGTACACAGGGGTACCGCTGAATGTTTCCCCGGTGCTGTGTTTATAGCACTGGGGAAACATTACTGTTGAACAGAGGCAGGGTCAGGTGACCGGGACTATGTTAGGTCGGCTGGCTGGGAGGAAGTGACAGCCTGTCACTTCCTCCCAGCATCATGCAGGGAGACAGTGTGGGAGGGAGAGGAGGCAGCCGCAGCATAAATGGAGAGGAGAACTGCAGGAGCTGCTCCAGACCCCTCACTCACACCGGCAAGCAGGACTCCAAGCCACCCTCCCGGACACAAAGTAAACTAACAGGAGGGTGGCTGGAGATATAGAAAAATACCACTTGGGTGTGTGTATGTATGAGTTGGAAGGATTGTGTGTATGTGTGGGAAGCATAAAAGCACACTCCTGCTGTCTAACACAAACATCACATACAAACACACCTCTGCATTCAAACTCCAAAAAAATATGCAAACACACCCATTCTCTCAAACGTAAATACTACACACAAATGTACATTCGCATTTAAAAGTGAACATTACATTCAGACACACCCCTGCAGTCAAACTCAAACATTTAATACAGGGGTGCGTTAGTATGTAATGTTTGTGTTCGATTGCAGGAGTGTGCTTTTACACTAAAACTATATACAAGCACCCCTTCAAACACTGTACATTACACTATAGCGCCAGTAGTAAATGCTGCAGCGCTGTACAAATATATATCCTAGAAATTTTGACTTGGGGTGCCTTGGAAAAATATTGAAATATTAAGGGTGCCTTGAACCTAAAAAGTTTGGGAAACACTGATGCAGACAATTATTATTTCAGGAAATTGCAAGAAGTATCAAAAAGAAGGGAGCCGATGCCAAAATGAATTAAGAAGAGTTTTGAAAGTCGCAATTTCCACAATATGACATGGTCTATTTATTGAATGCATTATTCATTCCCCCCCCCCCCAAAAAAATTTAAAAATAAAACTCTGTACAAAAATCATACCTTCCTTCGTTTGCTTCCAGGCCTTCCACCTCATTCATAGCCTCACTTAGCTCATCTTTCAACCTCTGGATCTCCACGAGCAGTTCCTGTTTCCGACGACGGATGTTCTCCAACTCAATACGCTCTTCAGGAGTAAGGTCAGCAGGGACTATAAAGGAAGCAAAAAAGCAAACATTCTCAGGATCTCTTAGTGTCTGCATTCTCTCATAATTAAAACTAGCTGAACGTTTTAGATATAGGTTGCAATCCATGCTGTTGTGGGAACTTTTCAGTGCTGTACAGTTCATCCAGCAGCACTGAAGCTTTACCCAGTTATTGTGTAATACAGTGTACAATGCTCAATTTTGCCTCTTTGCACAACATAAATTAAATCGCCTACTTGTTATCTGTTACACTGAGCATCTGCTATAAAATGGAAGGCTGGACTTGCATTGTGAAGAATGGTTTTCGCTTTCTCTATCTCACAATAATCAGTTGCTTTGTGTCCTTTGTTACTAGTGAATTACACTTCTATGGTTCCTTTGTTCACTCCAAAAGACCAATAACAGTGTCAAGCTATTAGTACAATTAAAAATGTAAAAATGTAAGTACATACCATTTATTTAAAAAAAAAAAAAAAAAAAAACTTAAATTACTCTTTGAATCAATAATAAAACTAGCCATTAATGAATTATATCTAATGTGAGAATATACATTTAAAATAGCAATCACTTCTTTCAATGGAGATTGCGGTGTGTTGCACAAACCTACCCTATATATACACTGCAATCAACCTTAATACACAACTCCATTCTGTGACTTATGGATATAAAAAGGCATATGCTTCATCAGTGAAGAAGTTTTAATTAGTTAACAGCCTTTTGCACACATCCTTCCGCAACTTGCATTTCAACGTATCAACCACAGTTTGATCATAAGAGACCCTTGAAGTCTGCTGAACAAGCCTCTAGAGCAGAGGTTTAATAAAAAAATAAAAAAATAAAAAACATTACTTTTTTTTATTTTTATTTTTACAAATTACAATCAAGCAGAAGGCATCTGTCAATCAATATCCCTACACCATAGCCAATTTTGTAATTCACCAAAAGCAGAGACTGCAGATTAATAGAGTTGTACATGATCAGAAATGTGATATTTAAACCAGAAAAAAATAGTAGTCTTGCAAACGATAGTTTTTTGTTTAAAGGCATCACATTTTACACATCAAAGGTGTCTACTTAAAAAATAAATTAAAAAAAAACCACTCCAAGCACCATAACTACTACAGCCTGTAGAAGTGTCATGGCGCCTTTCTCAAGATAAGTAATCAATCTTTGACAATTTATTTGGTGTCTGCCAGATTACGGCTGTCTCCCCTGCCCCCAGAAGCTTTTGTATGGAGCTAAGCCAGAGGTGCAGGTGACCCCTCTCAGTCAATAAGCCAGCCATGCTGCTAATGATACAAATCAATATAAATTGATTCTTATTTTTTGCAGACCACAGAAGTCAAATAATAAACAAATTCAGATGCATGGTAGCTGCAGGTGTCTAATTCATTTAAAGTCAGGCGGCATGATATTTCTACTTTGATTGGGGCATAAAATGTTTTTTGTTTTCTATTTTATAAAGAGAATTTCAGCATGAGTGGCATGAACCTACTTTTGCTATACAATATCTGGACATACACTATATGGACAAAATTATTGGGACACTATAGTCACCAGAACAACTACAGCTTATTGAATTTGTTCTGGTGAGTAGAATCATTACCTTCAGGCTTTTTGCTGTAAACACTGTATTTTCAGAGAAATTGCAGTGTTTACATGACAGCCTAGGGATAACTTCACTGGCCTCTCCTTATGGCTACTAGAGGCGCTTCAGTGTGCAGCACTGCCATTCAGTGTCTCCACCCTACGCATGAAGACACTGAACTTTTCTTATAGAGATGCATTGATTCAATGCATTTTTATGAGGAGATGCTGATTGACCAGGGCTGTGATTGGCTTGTGCTGACTCTGCCTCTGTTCTGCCTCCTTGACACGCTCAGCCAATTAAATGCTTTCCAATAAGAAAGCATTGTAATTGGCTTTGAATATCACTTTTGATGTAAGCCAAGCAGACAGATCAGGGGCAGAGCCAGCAGCAGCAGACTGTTATAAAAGTAAGATTTTTTTTTTTATATTTAGGGAGGCTAGATGGTGTTTCTAACACTATAGGGTCAGGAATACCATGTTTGTGTTCCTAATCCTATAGTGTTCCTTAAAGGGACACTCCAGACCACTTCTACCCATTGGAGTGGTCTGGGTGCCAACTCCCACTACCCTTAACCCTGCAACTGTAATTATTGCATTAATAGTCTACTGGAGAGCCACCAGAGGGCACTTCCGGGATCATAGCACAGATTATCTGTGCTATAGCGTCGCTGGACGTCCTCACGCGTCGCTAAAATCCCCATAGGAAAGCACTGCCGCGAATGTGCATTAGGTCTCCCCAGCCGGCAGGCGGGATCAGTCTCCCCCGCCGGCTGACGTAATGAAGGGGAGGAGCGGCGGTGGAGGAAGAAGCAGCGACGTGTGACATGTCGCTGCCTCTGGTAAGTGACTGAAGGGGTTTTCAACCCTTCAGCAACCGGGGATGGGAGGTGGGAGGGAGAGGGGACCTGCAGCGCCAGGAAAACTGATTGTTTTCCTGGCACTGGAGAGTCCCTTTAAATTATTGAATTCATGAGTTTCACTAACTTGTTTAAATAAAAAATAAAATCTGGCTTCCAACTATTTTTAACTGGCCCTGAGATTCAAACACATTTCAAGCCCTTCTTAAAGGGAATCTCCAGATCCCTAAAGCACTTTGTTGGGGGGGGGGGTGTCCTCTAAACAGTGATTTTTTGTGTGCTTAGAAGTCCCTTTAAAACTTCATTGGATAGGGTTTAAGAAAAATGTGTTTTCATTATCAACTGATAACGCAATAGGCAGCAGAATACTATCATTTGGACTAGCCTTTGTCTCAATTTAAAAAAAAAAAGAAAGAAAAAAAAAAAAGTCCAAGCATAGAGATTTTTGCATTTATAATATAAAGACCACATATGTGTAATAACCACAGAAAGAGGATGACTAAACCTTGCAAAATGTAACAATGCACAAGGATTCTTGTTCAAATGGAGTACAGTATTGCTCCACTGGCAACCGAGCTTAACACCAGTTATGCCTTTATCGCTTTTTTTCAAATAAAAGCTGCATAAAGAAACCCATTGTTGCAAATAACTAGATTATGTTACAGTAAATCAAAATGCAGATTGAAAGGGGTCTGGGATACTTCAGATATCATGCTAATAAATGCCATTGACAAAGACATCTTTATTACGTTTAGACTGGTTTGACTTTATTCAATTCAAGACCCTTGTGATCGCCTGGGTAATGCTGGAAAACTCTGGAACGAACATTTGAACTAGTGAAAGGATTCCTTCATGTAATAACAGGCCAGAACGTTTTAGTGAACCAGCTTTACATTATGCAATCATTAGGTTTTTGGAGCCATTGCAGGTTTAAAGGGAAACGCTCAGCAATTACCTGGCCCTCTCCACTTCCCCGCCACACTATGCTAGCAGAGGTGGGTGTTACACTTCTTCTGTAACACACACCTTCAGTCTGCCTATGCTCCTTCTCAGCTTTTTGTTGATTTGCCCTGCTAAGGGACACTTCCCCAATAGAGCAGACCTCCATGACGCTGACACGCTGGCTTTGTTGCCAGCATTTGAACGACACGTCATCTTGTTCCTATACCTAGTTAGTGGCTAGAGTTACCATAGCAACCACCTCATATGTTCTGTGGTTGCTATGGATGGAAAGTAGAGGGACACCCTGTTGGAAGTCTTTCTGTTCTCCCTGACAGTGAAGATCAACATATTTAAAGTCATTATGGGCATTACAGGTTCCCTTTAAAGGAACACTGCAAACTACATGACCTCTACAGTACGCCCTGGCACCCTCCAATGTGAGTAACGAATCAATTCTACAACTTGGTTGAGGATCACCAGGCTTATACCAGTTGACATCTTAGATATCCACTAGGCCTCAATCACTCTTACAGAGCTGGAATATCCAAACAGAAGCTTACATTAGCTTTCCTGAGCCAATGCCCTGCTATGTAGAGCTTGATTATTTGCCAACATTGTCAACTGTAGTGGTTATGGTACTAGAAGAATTTCTTTAGACAATGTTTGCACAAATCCCTTTTAAAACTTATTTTAAACAAAAAAGGGGTTTTTAAGAATCTTTACAAAGTTAGTTTATATGAAGTATTTTAATTTGTATTAGTGATCGACCAATATTAATTTTTTAGAGCCGATACCGATAATCTGAATTTTCAGGCCAATAGCTGATAACTTACCGATATTCTGTACATTTACCATTTTGAAAAAATAAACTATTTCTAAAGGTAAATGCACAAAATATACATGCCACAAGTAGTGAACGCAGTGTGCGTAAAGTGAACGCAGTGTGTTTGTATAGTGTGTGTATACTAAATGCAAAGTGTGTGTTTGTGCAGTGTGTGTATATAATGCAGTTTGTGTAGTATGCATAAAGTGAATGCAATGTGTGTTTGTATAATGCAGAGTGTGTGTATATATATATTATAATAATGCAGTGTGTTTATATAATGTGTGTGTAGTGTGCAATACATATACATATACACACACACACACACCACATTATATAAACACACTGCATTATATAAAGACACTACACAAACACTGCATTATATACACAGTGTGTTTGTGTAGTGTCTTTATATAAAGCAGTGTGTGTGTTTCTGTAGGTATTCAATTTGGGGGGAGGGGGCATTTATTAATTTTTTTTACTATTTATTTATTTTAGTCCCCCCCAATCCCTCCCTGCTTCTTACTTGGCCAGGGAGGGAGGAATATAGCATTCCCTGGTGGTCCAGTGGCATGGAAAGTACAGAGGGGGCCTGCAGCAAGCACTTACTTACCTTCCCAGCAGCTCCCTGTGTAAATCTCGCGACCAGTGTGCCGCTTTGCCATGGTAACCCGTGGCAACGCTCTGATGGCAGAGTGACTTGCAAGATTTACACAGGGAGCTGCTGGGAAGGTATGTAAGCGCTTGCTGTGGGCCCCTCCTCCCCATCTATGTGGTCTCTGAAATGCCTCTTTATACAGTCTATATTAGGACTTGGCATTAAAGGGACACAATAGTTACAAAAACAACTAATGTATTTGTTCTGGTGCCTATAACCTGTCCCTATAAGCTTGTCAGAGAAAAGGCATTACAGCTGAGGAACACCTCCAGTGTCCACTAGAGGTGCTTCCTGGGTCAGTACTGCAAAGTGTGCAGTACTGACATTTAGCGTCTCCACGCTCTGCATGGAGTTCTTGAACTTTCTTCATAGAGATGAATTGAGTCAATGCATCTCTATGCTCTGCCCCATCTCCTTGGCTGAGATCATCAGAATTGACAATCTCAGCCAATCCAATTATTTCCTATATGAAAGCATTGTGACTGGCTGAGATCATCCATTTTGATGTCAGTCAAGGGGGCGGATTGGTGTTGAAGCCAGCCCCAACATATGCTGGAAATAAGGTGAGTTTTTACTGTATTTAAGGGGGACAAGTTTGTGTTCCTGACCTTAAAGAGTTCCATTAAGTGTATAAAAAGGGTATATGTGACTAACAATACCTATTTGTAAACAGAAGCACAAACTTATTCAATTCCAAGATGTACAAACTGTTCAACACACTGTTTCAATCCTTGTAGTGACTGCATCATCACTGTAGATTCCAAATGCCAGCCACTTTAGTAGTAGGCCATCATTATCCTTTTCCTTAACCCAATTTCTTAACAAGCAGACACAAAAAAATGAGAAGATTCTTCTTTGGATTAGACCATAATGAATTACTGCTTTTGGAGGGGCAGCAGGAATTGAAATTCCTGGTAATAGCAGCATGCTTTGCCTGGGAAGGATGTAGACAGGAAATGCAAGGGATTGGCTTATTAAGAGTACAAAAGCTGCGTGAACAATCCAACAAATTTAGAACATTACAAGAGAAGAAAAAAAATAAAAAAATTATATATATATATATATATATATATATATATATATATATATATATATATATATATATATATATATATATATATATATATATATATATATATATATATATATACACACACACACACACACACACACACACATATCATTATTTAAGGTTGCTTTCAGTGTGATACTGCTAATGGAATGCACCAAACCGCTTTCTCTGCATAAGCAAACTAATCTTGTAAAGTATTTAAAGGACCACTCTAGGCACCCAGACCACTTCAGCTTAATGAAGTGGTCTGGGTGCCAGGTCCTTCTAGAGAAACTGCTATGTTTATTAATGGGTTAAGCATTCCCCCTAATCCTCTAGTGGCTGTCTCACTGACAGCCACTAGAGGCGCTTGCGTGCTTCTCACTGTGATTTTCACAGTGAGAGCACGCAAGCGTCCATAGGAAAGCATTGTAAATGCTTTCCTATGCGATGGGCTGAATGCGTGCGCAGCTCTTGCCGCGCGTGCGCATTCAGCCCAGGAGGAGGAGAGAAGGCAGAGAGCTCCCCTCCCAGCGCTGGAAAAAGGTACGTTTTAACCCCTTTCCCCTTTCCAGAGCCGGGCGGGAGGGGGTCCCTGAGGGTGGGGGCACCCTCAGGGCACTATAGTGCCAGGAAAACGAGTATGTTTTCCTGGCACTATAGTGGTCCTTTAAAGGGTAACTACAGTGCAAGGAATACAAAGTTGCATTTTTAGATGCACTATTGTACTCTATAGTTCCCCCTCTCCCATGGCGATAACATTTATATTTTGGCACTTATCGGATTCCAGCGATGATTTCCCTTGGCGCTGAGTCAGGTTCCACCTCAAATCGCATTTGGACTATCCCATAGGTTATCATTTTGCTTACTCTGGATGTCCTCATTTCCACCAGGAAGTATCTCCAGTGGCGATCTGGTAGACAGTCACTAGAGGTGGAGTAAACCCAGCAAGGTAGTTATTGCAGTTTATAAATAACTACAATAATTACAATTGCAGGGTTAACAGGGGCACTGGACCCACACCACTTTAACAAGCTGATGTACTCTGGGTGCCTATAGTGTCCCTTTAATTTTGTGGTCTGCCTCTGAACTTTTTCTAGTCCCATGATATCAGTTTTTTTTAGAACAGGTGGCCAAAACTGCACAGCATATTCAAGGTGTGGGATTACCATTGATTTATAAAGAGGCACAGTTACATTTTTGTATACTTTTTTTTTTTTTTTAAATAGCTGAGTGTTACACAAATAAATAAATAAAACAACGCACACATCTGAATCGAGAAGTGAAGATGAAGCAAAACCAAGTAAATACACTGCTTTTATGCAACAACTACAGAAGCAAAATTTTGGTCCATTCATATGGTGCGATATACTCAAAAGAAAGGTCATTTTGTCTGAATATCTAACACTACATATTCACAAAAACAAGGATTACGCATAATGAATAAAATAAATAAAAACTTGACATCTTAAATCTTGTCAATTATCTAATTGCTACAGCTGGTATACATTAAGGCCAAATACAATGAAAAATTATAAAATGTAAACCTAAACCATGAAAACCAGTTGAATGCTCCAGCTCACTGTTGCACTTTTAGTACTTTACTCTATATTTCTCTCTTTATATATCTCAGCAATGGTGCTGCCGTATAGAGCATAATTGATACAAAATACAGATATAGGAACAGCACACACAAAAATACAGTTTTACATGTTCCAATGCTACATCATACCACCCATCACCAAACTAGTTTGGGGATTCAGTTCCATCATATGGCTATATCGCGTTAAGCCCACCAATACATCAAAGTTCCCCAAAATAGGTGCGTTCTACACCAATTCCAACAAGGAAGACAAATTAAAGATTGCTAGTGCTAAATGATCTAAAAGTGTATTTAATAAATATGCTGTAAGAGCATTGGGGATACATATAATGCTAAATTAAACTATTTTTAAAAGAGTGTAAAAATTAAACAATCGAAGTGACAATGCTTTTAAATATATAATCAGAATTATACATTTTAGGAAAATAAAAATTAGATAACATCTTCATGAAACTCATAAGTGTCAGAGATGCTTTAAGGGAATGAAATGTGAAAAGTGGAATAAAGTTTTATACACAAACATAAAAAATTAATATTGGATAAACTCTTTATCTAAGATCCATTATATAACTTGATGCAGCAGACTAATACGTTAACATATTTGTTTCAAAACACTTGTTCTCTTCTAAACCCAAGAATATGCAGTTTATTATGTTTTCTTAGATCGTTGCCCTAAATATTTCAAATAATTCTACAACGTTTACCCTTGATTGACCCAAAGAATTCCACATCGTGTTTAAATAATATGGCAGATTGGCAGGAGATTTCTGCTGTATAATTCCTATTACATAAAGAACTGACAAAAAGGCATTCACATTGAAATACCAGGATCAGCACTGAATTTTTAACAAAAGAATGCAAGCCAAGCGTAGACTAACAACAATCAAGTTGGGTTCAGAGAATGCCGCTGGAGTCACATATAGTTTGTGATATAGAAACAAAAAAAACAAACACACACACTTTTTCTCCTACTATTTATAGGTTATAAAAGTGAGGGAGCTGGATCTAGATTCTAGACTATTAAAAGAACACACTATGGTTTTAGAATTACAAATGTTTTAGAATTTAAAGCTTTAAAAAGAAAATAGCTTAATTAAATGATTTTGTATTTCTACGCTCCTGCAGTCCAACTACTCAATTATCTGCCATTTAGATTATGATGCAGCCCTAGCCACAAATCCCTTGGCTGAGACTCGCACAATATCACTACACAATTCATGTATTTATTTCTGGGTTTTTTTTTGTTTGTTTTTTTACATACTTGTCTTTTCGTTTCTTATCTTTAAAGTCACCTGTGCTGCTATACTAAAAATAACTTAAAAAGGGATACTATAGGCATTAAAACAGCTTTAGCTTAATGAAGCGGTTTTGGTGTATACATCATGTACCTGCAATCTAATTTTTAAATCTGTCATTTAGGGGTTAAATCATTTTTGTTTCAGTCCATGCAGCCCTAGCCACACCTCCCCGTGTGTGACTCACACAAAAATGGTTTCATTTTCAATCAGTTCAGGGGTGTTAATTATTTGTTTTGTTTTATCAAATCTACTTGTCCAATGGACTAAAGTGGTAGCCTGCTTGAGATAATGCCCCGGCTGGGCACCAACTCCCCATAGACAATAAATTAATTTAAAAAATATATTTTAAAAATAACTTGATAACCTATTATATGTATATTGATGACTCAAATCAAAAATCTGTTTTTAAAACCAGTAGATGTTAAAGGGATTCTCCAGTGCCAGGAAAACAGTTTTCTGGCACTGCAGGACTCTGGAGTGATAGACAGCATCTAGAGGAGGACTTAACCCTGCAAGGTAAATACTACAGTTTATGAAAACTGCAATAATTACACGTGCAGGGTTAAGGGTAGTGGGAGTTGGCACCCAGACCACTCCAATGGGCAGAAGTGGTCTGGGTGCCTGGAGTGTCCCTTTAATAGTTTTAGCTAAATTAGCAGCTGTCATGATCCAAATAGGCTTAATAAATCCCCAAAAAGTAATTTTTTTACGCATAAAGAGGAACTGCACCGAAGGTCATGTATCAGAAGAACAGATAAATAAAAGAAAACGGATACCAACTAGTTGTACTCAATAAGCACAGGAGGCCGAGAAACTACCAAGAAGTTCATTATTGAAATGTAAAGATTAAAAAAAAACCAAAAAAAAAAAAAAAAACACACTTTTAAATCTAAAATCTCTTTTAGCTGTAACTACAACTGTGCTAGTAGGAGAATAAGAAACATTATTAATAAAACATAGGCCAATTCTTCTGAAAGATCATGAGCAAACCATACACCATTTAGCGAAAATAATTTAAAAGAATTATTAACCTCAACCTATTAAATTAAAAACAAAATAATAGGTGTTTTTTTGTTGTTGTGGGAAATGTAAAGCATGTAAAAAATTATTATATATATATATATATAACAGCTTTAAAGACCCTGATGATAAAGATACTACTTATCCTTAAAAATACGTTTCTCCAAGAATGTCAGAGATGCACTTATTTACCCATGAGGCCAATTTTATGTTGGTAGGACTATACAGACATCTACATGTGAGAAAGGAAGAACACTGCAGGAATATTATCAACAATGTTGAAAAACATTTTTCAACTTTAGAATTATGCACAATTCTGACCCTAAATGTCTTCTTTTGTCCCCCATCAAAAAGGTTAATAACAATTGGAGAAGGGTAAACTATATTGGCAAATTCGGTAAGACAGAAAAGTAAAATGTTTGAATTAAATACCCCAAGGCCATATTGCCTAAATGACGATTGAGTTATTTTTTCTAAAATTATTTTTCTTATAGTCTTACACAAAAAAAAAAGTGCAGTGTATTTTTTATTTTAATTTTTAGGGCCCTTAGAAAGTGATTACATGTCTGTTTTTATGTGTAATATGGATAGATATATACATATGCACATAGATTTTTAAGTCATATTTTCGCCTCTCCCTTTTCTACCCCCAAATATTTAAGCAACTGTTTTTATATATTTTTTACCTACACAACTTTGGGATTTTTCTAAGATGTCCATATAGAACCACATTTGATCCCTTATCTAAGATTATTTACATAGATAGTGTCCATTATTTATGTATTCTTTAGGAGTTATGTCACTGTACAGGTAGATTGCAATCGTCATCAATGTTATCTCTCTCTGTCTCTTATTTCCGTGTATATGTGTAAAAGTGCCAAAGGGGGAACTAACAGACTTGAGATGCCACTATTGATATAACACATGCCCAAAATTTCCAGTTAAGGACAAAGATCCGACCACGACAGGCATGCACGCTACGACGGGACATGAGACATCAATGTCCGGAATCGTAATAACCGGACCTGGCAAAGCAGAAACATACCGACTGAGTTATCAGGAGACTATGGGACTTATACATGATTTTTAATAGGTTTTTATTGCCATATGTGGCTATTTAAAAATGCAAATAAAAGCATTTTTTATTTACCCACTGCACGGTCTGATATCTACTGCTGCAATCCTTCCTGGTACCAAGGTTTTTTTGTCTTTCTTAAAACTAAATATTATTAACAAAATTGCACCTGCAAGCCAAGCAAACTATAAGAATAAATTCTTCCATGTACATCTTAAAGTGACACTGTAACTGCTTCATCTCACTGAAGTGGTTAGAAGTCATAGGAGTTCAATTTAACCATCCTTCCATTCAGCACTAAACCGTTTTTCAAGGAACACTATAGGGGTCAGGTACACAAACATGTATTTCTGGCCCTATAGGGTTAAAACCACCAGCTAGCCCACCTGGCTCCCCCATGCCCCTATAAATATAGCAAATTCCTACCTTTATTCCAGTTTGTTGCTGGCTCAGCCCCTGAACTAGCAGAACTAGCAAAAGCCAAACACAGCCCTGGCCAATCAGCATCTCCTCAGAGATGCATTGAATCAATGCATCTCTATTAGGAAAGTTCAGTGTCTCCACGCAGAGGGTGGAGACACTAAATGGCAGTGCTGCATAGTGTGCAGCACTGCCCCAGGAAGCACCTAGCATCCATCTGAGGAGTGGCCAGTGGAGGTATCCCTAGGCTGTAATGTAAACATTGTCTTTGGTCTGAAAAGACAGCGTTTACTGCAAAAAGCCTGAAGGAAATGATCGCCATTCCCAGAACAAATACAATAAGCTGTAGTTGTTCTGGTGACAAGTATCCCTTTAAGGAGACAGGGACATGTATTTAATTTGATTGCTATTGTCTTTGGTATATCTAGTGGGTCAGAATAGCAGTTGGGCAATTATTAATATTTTCATAGCGCCAATATGTTCCACAGCACTGTACAATAAGTAAAGACGACAAAACAATTCTAACACAAAAGTTAGACATCGGACATGAGTAGCTGAAACAAGTTTACAGTCTTAAAGGGACACTTTAGTCACCAAAATAACTTTGGCTTAACAAAGCAGTTTAATGTATAGATGCCTATGAATTTTCACTGCATAATTGATTGCCATTTATGAGTTAAATCACTTTTGTTTCTGTTTATGCAGCCCTTGCCACACCTCCACTGACTGTGACTGGCAGAACCTGCATAAAAACAAAATGGTTTCATTTTCAATAAGATGGAACTTACTTTAACAGTTGTTGTCTCCTGCTCTTTAATTAAAAGATCACTATAGTGTCAGGAAAACTAAGCGGTTTTCCTGACACTATAGTGCCCTGAGGGTGACCCCACCCTAAGGGTCCCCATCCCGTGGCACTGAAGGAGTTAAAACCACATCAGCAGCTTACCTTTTTGCAGCACCGGGCTCCCTCGGTGCTGGTGACCTCTCCTCCCTCTGCTGACGTCCGCGGAGCCGAATGCGCATGCAGATGCACCTCTAGTGGCAGTCCGGAAGACAGCCACTAGAGGCTGGCTTAACCCAGCAATGTAAACATAGCAGTTTCTCTGAAACTGCTATGTTTGCATCTGCCGGGTTAAAACCTGAGGGACCTGGCACCCAGACCACTTCATTGAGCTGAAGTGGTCTGGGTGACTATAGTGCCCCTTTAAACTTTTTCACATACAAAAGGCTATTGCAGGGTCTAGCAATCTACTAACTGATCAGGGGATAAAAAATTCTAAATTAAACAGAATTTGCAATAAGGAAGTATAACAATTAGATGATTTTTTACAGGAAGTGTTTAGAAAGGCTGCGCAAGTCACATGCAAGGAGGTGTGACTAAGCTGCATAAACAAAGTGATTTAATTCCTAAATGGCAGAAAATTAAGCAGTGAGACTAAAGAGGCATGATCTATACACTAAAACTGCATAATTAAGCTAAAGTTGTTTTGGTGACTATAGTGTCCCTTTAAATCTACTGCTTGGTGGCTGTGGGCACCATACCTTTTCTAGCAAAACCACATTTTCATATGGGTGTTTTTAAGTTCTGCATGTTCATCGTGGAGATATGAGGTTTATTTTCCCTTCACAGTATATTTTTAACCCTTAGTTACACACCTTCCGTCTGCTTTTTTTTTTTCTTTAAAAGGACCACTATAGGCACCCAGACCACTTCAGCTTAATGAAGTGGTCTGGGTGCCTGATCCAGATAGGGTTAACACTTTTTTTTTTTTTTTTAAATAAACATAGCAGTTTCACAGAAACTGCTATGTTTATAAATGGGTTAATCCAGCCTCTAAAGCCTCTAGTTGCTGTCTCATTGACAGCCGCTAGAGGCGTTTGCGTGCTTCTCACTTTGAAAATCACAGTGAGAAGACGCAAGCGTCCATAGGAAAGCATTCACCCAAAGAGGAGGCGGAGAGGAGGAAGAGAGCTCCCCGTCTGGCGCTGGAGAAAGAGGTAAGTTTAAACCCTTCCTCTCCCCAGAGCCCGGCGGGAGGGGGACCCTAAGGGTGGGGGCACCCTCAGGGCACTATAGTGCCAGGGAAACGAGTGTTTTCCTGGCACTATAGTGGTCCTTTAATGATAGGCAATTTTGATACATGAATGTTCAACTGCAGTTTCCAACTTTTTCCATTTATTGCACCAATAGATATACTGATTTTTAAAGGACAAAATGGCCTTATTTTAATGTGACATAAATTCTTATTTACTACTCAATAGTTTTGGCAATAATATTTTTCATAGTTTTGGCAATAATAATGTGTGCAAGGTTTCATAATTAGCGCAGCTTAAAGGAACACTATAGCAAAGATTACATGTTTGTATTCGTAAAGCTTTAGTGTTCTATTAAGTATTGAGCCTATGTCTCTGTTTGGAGCATTGTAACAGTTTGACAGTTCAAGTTACCTTTACAATCTGAGTACCTAATACAGCTCATCTGTAAATCTGGGTCACTAAATATGGCCCTGGCTGACAAAGGGGAGCTCCAAGTATCAATTGATACCTGGATATTCCAGGTGTAAGCAGGGGATTTTAAAACTTCTCACAAATTTGCAGCCTCTGGCATTTAAATCTCCATTTAAATGGACGTATGCAGCGCTCACTTTGAGCGCTCCCTGAAGTCATTGGTCAGCATGGGGCCACTTATTCTGGCTCCAGCGATTGAGTGATTCCTAGTTACCAGCAGGTAAACTGTCCCTGCTGGTAAATTGTACACAACGTACTGTGTCATGGGTCCTTTATGTTAGGACAATCATGGCAGAATGATTCCTTCATTGGTCACAAAATGGTTAAGACATCAGTACTGTCAATATTCATAGACTTATTCTACAGACTCATTATGGTGTCACCATTTACAAGCACTTTTGTTCTAGGTTACATAATTGACTGTGTATAGTTAAGAAATTTTTTGGCAAGCATTCCTTATGCCTCCCTTGGGCTAAGAAAATCAGGATTGTCATTAATTGCATGTGATTCATAACTCAGAATAACATTAGGACGTTTCAGAATATGTCGGTAAGTAATGAAACATGCAATTTGTACTTGTGATCATGTGCAGCTGCTACTGAGAAAAATGTAATCTCTATTACTGAAGCAACTTTTGAATCATGAAATAAATTGATACATAACTATAGCTGTTCCTTTTTTGCCATACTGTGGTAATATGTATGATTTTTTTTTAACACAATTTAGGCTGTAGCTATTTTTATTACTGAATAAGTAAACCATCACTGCCATATATAGTACCCCACCTATGGACATTTATTGTGGGGAATATAGTACACAACAGCAGGTGTGAGAGGGTTTAGCCATCAATAATTCATACCATAACATACAGGCCTGACTAATTAAAGGGACACTAAATTTACTATAGCAATTTTATCTCATTGAATGTATAGTTCCTCTAGGGCTTTGTCTCTCCAAGCAGTGTTAAACTAGTTAAACCTTTTGAATTTATGGCATCCTTCCTTAACGCCATACGAATTCATACCAGCAATAGGCACTGCAATTGGCTTAGAATGCTAGCTGACCGATTTCAGCCTATCACAGCAAGCCATAACTATTCAGGCTAATGTTTTCTCATTAACCAAAGCAGCACAGAGGGGGTGGGCACTCTCATATAGAATTAACACATTAGACACTGAAGTCTCCAGAACAACTATAGCTTATTGTATTTGTCCTGGGAATGGTGATCATTTCCTTCAGGCTTTTTGCAGTAAACACAGTCTTTTCAGAAAAAAGGCAGTGTTTACATTACAGCCTAGGGACACATAGACCACTCCTCAGATAGCTGCTAGATGCTTCCTGGGACAGCAGCACTGCCATTTTCACCCGCTGACTGAACTTTATTCATAGAGATACATGAATTCAATGCATATCTATGAGGAGATGCTGATTAGCCAGGGCTGTGTTGGCATCCTTGGCAGTCTCAGCCAATCCTATGGGAAAGCATTGTGATTGGCTCGGATATACACTTCTGATGATGTCAGCCAAGCAGGCAGATCGGGGAAAAAGCCAGCAGCAGCAGACTGGAATAAAGTTCAGATTTTGCTATATTTAGAGGGTTATGGGGGAGCCAGGTGGGCTAGATGGTGGTTTTAACACTACAGGGCCAGAAATACATGTTTGTGTACCTGACCCTATAGTTTTCCTTTAAACCTACAATCTAAAATACTGTAGTTTCAGAGAAACTACAATGTTTATATTGCACGGTCAAAACTGCCTCTAGAGTCTTACTACCAGACAGCCACTAGATCCACTTCCTGCTTTTTCACTGAGTTTAACTGTGAAATTATGCTTTGCGCCCTCATGCTGTGCATACGCATTCTGTTCCCCCCTGGGAGTAGACTGAGCAAGTGCCCAGAGACTTTGGCGCTGGAATATGGGGAGTGTTTTAAAGGCTTTTTAGCCCTTCAATTGCCACAGGGATGCAGAGGGATACTATAGTGTTCCTTAATTACTTCAATTAATCTGGCCAGGTTTACAACAGATTAAGTCCAAATATTATAAAGTTTAGAATGTGCTTTGCAGTTTCACATCAAACAAACGAAAAAGAAGCTCGACAAATAAAGTGACAACTTAATTATGATGGTTTTATAAAGTCCAAAGTTTAATATCCATAGGAACAAAACCTACCCCTTAAAACTGGAAATGTAGCCAACTTCCCTGTTTATGAGAAGGAGAGAGAAACAGAGAGAAAACCTATGGCATATGAAGAGTCCCTTGATGCTCTGACAACTGGCTGGCTCAACATCTTAGGCAATACAGTTCACAAGAGCAGGAATACCAAAACGTTACTCGTTACTCAACAATTTAACATACAGAATCTACTAGGCTGAGATACAAACACTACCAAGCACACAGTAGGATTCCCCTGACACAAGTTTTAGCAGGCAGTGACGGGTTATTCACCAAAATGTGAAATTTCAAAGTGATTTTTAGATCAGGATTCATAGTTACTTGCCACTATATGCCATTGCACACTAAGCAGGGGTGAATGTCTCAGGGTTGAATTTTCAGTTGCCAATGGCTAATGGAAAGTTGATATTTTAGCCCCATTTTACCTCAAAATAGCCAAACTGTAAACAGTTATTTGGAAATTAGTACTATTTTAGGTAAAGGGACACTCCAGGTACCAAAACAACTTTATCTAAATGAAGTTGTTATGGTGCCAAAAGGCACCCAGGAGCACTCTGACCTCAATTTTAAAACTATTCTCAAATAATTTTACCCCAAAGTTTTAGATTCAGGAAGTGCAGAGTGCCACTGGGCAGGGGCACTGCTGATTGTCAGAGCGGTGAGCCACGTTTATTATTATTTATATAGCGCCATCAGATTCCGTAGCGCTGTACAAAGGGTGGACTAACATTTCTTTCCATGCCAGTTTTGTGAATGAGGCGTCAGCCAGCCAATCAGTGGCGCCCCTGCCCGGCAGCACTCAATGCTTCCGGAATCGGAAAATTCAGAAGCCATCGGGGCACAGGCAACGTTGGGGTTAAATTGTTGGAAAACAGTTAAGGCTGAGATAAGAGTGCCTTTGGGTCTCCTAACACCATAACAACTTCATTTAGATGAAGGTGTTTTGGTGCCTGGAGTGTTCCTTTAATGTAATCTACAATCTGAAATGTGATTTGAATGTCTGATAATTCACACGGACAGAACTGCCTCTTCCTATTCTAGAAAACCAGGCTTGGCGAGTACCTCTGGTCAGACATGGCCACAACCTGATTTATTCATCCAGCAATAATAATTCATCACATGCTCCTGCTACAGTAATTACCCAGGGTGCTATGGCAGATCAGCACCCCCAAGCAGATGTAGAACTACAACTCCCATGATGCTCTCGAAGTCATTAAGCTGGCAAAGCATCATGGGAGTTGCAGTTCGCCATTCCTCTTCCATGGTCTTCGATCACATTGCACAATAGGAATACTCCCCCCACCTCAGGCAAACATGGAGCATCCTGTTTTGTTCATAGTGACGTAGGCCCTATTTTTGCCCATTCTATGGGATATGGGCCTGAAATGGGTTCAAACTAATCGGGGGGGAGGGGGGGTAGTATGTATCCAGAGTGACCCTTCCTGCCCCCTCCCCCATCGCCTTCCTCTTGGTACAGCCCGCACCACACTCACCGTACATGGTGTCTTCCATGCTGAGAGGCGACGGCTACCCGGAGTAAAGCACGGCCGCGTCTCTAAGCGGCTACCTGTCCTATCAGACGGCTCACTCTCTCCCTTGTGAAGGTGAACGAGACAAACACGGTTCCCACGCCAAGGACCTTCCCACCCGAGCACCTCCGACCGGCTCATGGACTAACCCACCCAGCTCGCAGCCTCCCCTCCCTCAGCCCCGCCCACCGCTTCCATAGCAGCAACGCCGCGGCTGCTCCCGCCCATCGGTACGCAAAGAGCGCATTGACTGACGGCAGCATCCGCCAATCAGGCGCGATCGTGAGGAAACACTGACGTAGTGGTGAGGCGGGGCGGATCGCGACCGCTTTGTCTCGAGGCCGTGCGTTCGGTGTTTGACTGCCAGTTCGCTCGGCCTATAGGAGTGAGCGATGTTATGAGAGTGGGCGGGACGGAAAGATGTCATTGGAGGAAATGGTGAGGGTGGGTTATAAATGCAGAACCTCCCGAGCTCTGAGGGCGTTGCGTGGAGCAAGGGAGTGGACATGCTGATCGTGCGGTTTATGGTCACACGGGATAGTGTGACAGTGGGCTAATACCTGGGCTGTAGTCAGGGTTACCAGGGCCGCCATGTTGTCCTGGACAGTTATTACCTCATGATTAATAGTAACATGGACCATTGAGTTTGGCATCTCACATCTGTTTTTTGCTGTTGATCCAATGTAAAAAGTTTGAAGCACTTTCCAATTTTGCAACAAACTAAGAAAAACAAATTTCTTCCTGACCCCAGAATGGTAGTCAGCGGTCTCCTTAGACCAAGAAGCTATGATATCACTTGTAACGACACTCCCAGGCATAGAAGGGTTAACAGCCATTTAGGAGATATTCCCTTCCAGATATACAGGCAGCTACTATAGACACCAATCCACCGAACTGGAGAAGCATACAAATGCTGTAAACAGCCGAATAGGAAAAACCATACGAATAGGTTTGCACTCGAACTGGAACAGTATACAATAAATCCCCCCCCCCAAGAACGAGACAAGCCTCCGTTTTGAGGGTCAAGCAGGAACAGACAACTTATTGTTCTTATATACACATTCTTACATAGTACCACCCTCAGGGGTTTGGAAAACAACAAATAAACACGTACAATACACTCAGACACTCCTACACAAAATCCTCCCCTCTGCCTGTGATACACTTACCTTACACAATGGGTTAATGTAATTATCACAGGCAGAGAAATACAGTTTTTCCACATTATTCATAACTTTAAAAGTATACATCACATTCACATAAAACTTACATTTTCAGAATCTGCATACTCCAAATACAAACAAATGTCAAAATCATCCAAATTGGTTCAAAAGATAGATCGAAGTCCTTTGTGACCAAATGAAGCATGGCTTTTCTGCCCAAAACCAGTTCCACAGAGTCTTCTATCCTGGAGATAATTGGGAAGTAATCCAATTATCTCCAAGGACAGAGGCAAAACTCCATTGAACACATGGTAGCAAAAGACAATAAAATATATAAAAATATATAACTGTGAAGTTATTGCATAAAACAGGTACATTCAACATATCCCCAGATAGCTTCGATCTGAGCGCACATTATTACTGAATGGCGCTCAGATCACATACATACAGTTCAATTGCCATGGAGCCAAAGTCTTTCACATAGTCTTTTGTTATGCGAATGGGCTCCATGGCATAGCTATCTGGGGTATCACTGTTCAAATAGGGCAAGTACCGAATGACCTGGCTTTCGTGTCTTTGCAGGGGAAAATCAAGCGTTTCAACATGGGGCCATAGTCTAAAGGCAGCAGGCAGGCAACCAGGCTCCTCGAATGCACTCTCCCCTTTTCCAAACAGACTAACAGGGTATCTGACCTTCTGCCGGTCAGTGCCCTGATTAGTCCAGCAACCCACCCATAAAACACAATTAGTAGAACAGCCCACCCACAATAAATGGTTACTACACCTGAGTACGGGGAAAACTTGTCCATGTACAGGTGCCTCACCACAGCTGTGGTGGGCAGAGACCAGCTGTACTCTGCCCTGGTGCCAGCACTACCACAGAAGTAACCTGGTGGGAGCCTGGTTGCTGGAAGGGGAGACCGACTGTCTCCCCTTTGGATACATAGCTGTGCTGCTGGAGAGGGAAACCAATCGTCTCCCCTTTGGACAAAGCACCATGCTGCTGTGGGGGGAGACCGACTGTCTTCCCTTTGGCTAAACAGCCCTGATGCTGGGGGACAGGACCGACTGTCCCTACCCCCTGTGCTGTAAGTGCAGAGACCACGGTCCCATCTGCACTTTTGTGGGGCTTACTGTCTCCCCTGGTGCGTTAAGCTGCCGCTGTGGAGAGGGGGTAACAAGCTCCTCTCCCATACATACTTCCAGCCGCTGCGGAGGGAGACCATCTGTCTCCGCTTCCAACACAGTGTCCTGCTGTCCTGACAATAAGAAGAATTATAAACAGGCAGAACAGTCCGAAGAATAGTCACTGACAGCAATTCAGAGAGCAGAGATAGTAAAAATTTCAGGACAGGTCCATCAACCTCACAAAAATTTTTAGGGGAAACAACCGGACAACGAGAACCCGGAGAGGCTGTAGAAAAACCTGTAACAACACGGAGACCACCCTCACGGAGATACCCGGGACATACTCGACGACAGAAACATTAGTTATAAATATCTCATCTAAGGTTCTATCGGCTGCCCAGGAACAAGTACTGCAGAAAGGTTGACTTTTGTCCCTGGATTTTACAGTTTTAATTCCCTTCGCCTGTTTGTTCGGTGAAATACGTTTATTCCCTATATTAACATTGTCCCGTTCGAATAATGAATAAATTGCCGGACGACCAACCACCCAGATGCGGAGTTTGCCGCTTGTTGACCCCATTAACCTCTACTAACACCTCCTTAACCACAAACACCTCAACGTTCTAATCGGTCGGCTGGGTGGTTGTCATACGTATGTACGAACATATGGCGGCAGCCATCTTTAGATACGAACACGGCTAGCAGTGTTTGGTTGTTGAACAGTACGACGTTCGGTGGAAACATTCCTCGAACCACAGAGACTATGGGAACGTACGCACAAACTGATATTCATATGTATGTGATGTATTTTGGTACTCCCGAAAGAGACCGACCGCACAGCCTGAATGCATGGAACTATTGTGGCCAGGCACCTCGTGTGCGGTTGGTCTAAACTATACCCCGGTGGCGTTTCAGCTACATTCGTGGGATTTGAGTGATTTTGAGATCTGTTGGGCGCTCAGATTCAGGCTATTCGGGGATATAGAACTTGAGGGGGTACCTCATTGTTATGTATATATTTTGGGGTATTTTTATTATGCATGTCCTGGACTTGAGAGGTAATGTAATTATGTGTATTCTTATGTTGCTGTCCCCTCTCAAGTCCAGTGGGGAATGCCCTTGGAATATGTCACCCGAAACCCCTTGCATAAAAGGCCAGCTGTGGCTCCCATTAAAATCAGATCACTTCACCCTCAACACGCAGCCTCGTATCGTGATTGTAGGGAACAGCTATACCTGTTTTTCTTACTGCTTGGATGACTACCTGGAATACTATAGCACTACTCAAACTAGGGGGAAAGGACGTCTCTGGTGGTGGAAACCCCTCTAACCACGGGGGTGACCCCTACATTTGGTGGCAGCGGTAAAATGGTCCTTTTTTTCCCAAGAGGCAGTGCTATAGAATAGAGAGTCAGTATGACAAGCTGAAAAGACTGACCCTAAAGAATCTATTAGAAAATCCGTGGGCGTCCCGCTCGCAACCGACCACGACGGGAACTGATCGCTGACTGATAAGCTGCTAAAGCTGAGATAAATGTCCCGAACACAAAGGAAGGCGAACCGAGGGCCGTTCGGTTACGTTTGCCATTGTATGGACCGAACCCATTGGAGGACTTGATCACCCAGGTATTCAACGCAGTGGAAGCCGAAGCCTGAGAAAAACGGGAATATCAGCCACAATACAACGGCCCGAAAGCCCAGCTGGGATATCTACTACGCCCCCCTGGCTGAACAGAAGATGGTGCCTTTTGCAGCATTTAAACAATTTCAGGAAACCGAGGGGGGATAGACAGTTATCTATCTATCAAGCAAATTGTCCGGTAACGCTGCCGAAGCCTTCCGGGCTATCCCTGACGAGGACATACAACATTAACACTCAGTTAAAGAGGCTTTACTCACTCATTATGCCGTTACCCCAGAGGCATATCACCGACGATTCCGGGAATCAAAGAAGAAAGGGGGAGACTCCTACACGGAGTGGGCCTGCCGCCTACACCGTACAGCTTCACATAGGATCGCCGGGTGCCAAGCAGTGTCGGGAGAGGTGTACTGCAACTGTTCTTCCTAGAACACTTTTTAAACTCTCTGCAACCTGAACTGGGAGAGAGGGTACGTGACCTTACCCGAAGCTGCCCACCTGGCAAATGAATACACAGACACCAGGCGCATGGAACAGACCACTACTAGACCCTCTCCTTAAACAGAGTTCCCCAGGCCCATCTCGCTTCCCGGGACCCCCCCAGGTTCCGACAGAACCAATCTAAAATCAAATGCCATCATACGGTCACGTACGCAGTAACTTTCCCCTAGAAACACCCAGACCAACCTGGGGGCGACCTCCATCGGTTCCCCGACCTACACCAACCCATACCCTTGCCACTCACTGCATGGAAGCGGAGGCCAGCTCGTAGGAATACTATACAAGGCTAACCCTGTGCAAGCGGCCACCCAGGATAACCGCCAACAACACTGACAGGCAGTGTTGGGCAATGGGCAATCGGCACAGGGCTTACGGGACACTGGAGCTACCCTGACTCTAGTGCAGCGACACCTAGTGAGCAACAAGGAGTGCACTGGACAAAGGGTAGCTGTCCGGATGAGCGGAGGAGCTGTCTTTCGCCTCCCTACTGCCCACGTTCACCTTAACTGGGGAGCTGGATCCGGCATTGTGAATGTGGGGATTATGGACAACTTGCCTGCAGAACTGTTACTGGGGAATGATCTAGGACCCTAAACCTCAGCGTACATTCCTACTGAGCCAGCCACAGCAAACCCGGTTACGACGCGCTCACAAATCCGATCCACAGACATCAGCTCACCTGTCCGGGAGACCCAGGTAAGAACCACTAACCCCCCGACTGTGTCTGTAGCCA